TTAAAATAATAATAATAATGTAATAATATAATTTTCCGTATATGCATGATTGTTTTGTAAAAACATGGGTGTCAGATGTACTACCAAATCTCGCCACCAGATAGAGTCAATAAGCCGTGTAGAGTCCATTTTGGTCCTTTTTGTCTACGATGGTCAACATTATGAGACTATTTGTTCTTGGATCAATATAGTTTCCCCTCCAGTGATGTTGTCTGCTCTTTGAGATGGTCAAAACTTTCTTGTACACTGCTAGGGAAACACATCTTAAAGTCTGAAACAACAGCTCTTGTTCTTTTATTTTGCTGTAGAGATGAATTACATTCGACTTACTGAACCGAAAAAACCAAACTCCTTCACCATGGCAACCATGCACAGGAAACGGGCAGATAAACACAGACCTGTTGCCATCTCCCACGCAATACACACAGCCGCATACCACACACACACCTACACACACACACACACACACACACACACACACACACACACACACACTAGTTAATTGAAATATGACACATGGAAATGATGATTAATCATGACTAATCACGCTGTCTTTGTGTTGTCTGTTCTGTCGGAAAGACAGGACGAAGCCACTGAAATACAGCCATCTGCTCTTGCTTATAAAATGACATATAGAATAATAGTGAAGCTCTGTAATTATAATGTATTCATTTCTTTTTTCAGGTCTTTCCCAGTGGGGGAACAGGTGTGATTAAGTTGTACAATTAGCAGTTTCTCACTACAGTATGTGTGATTTTTCTTATCCTGTGAACTTTCTCAGAGATGTAGGAGTGAATATTTAAGGCATAATGTGTTTATTCTGTTTCTGTATTAGTCTGGGGAAACAAAAGCAAAAGCATTAAATTGGATGTACAGTATGATATCCCACTACATAAAAAGTTGATCAAAATGTGAATACTGTGAACATGTGGGTAGCACTCAGTGTTCAGTTCCCTCCATCTATCTCTGTCCCATTGCTTACCCCCCCGCGCAAAAGGCAGGCTTCTCAACAACCCGTCGCTATTAGATACTGCTGGGCTTGTCACCATGGCAGCAAATTCTCAATCATTTTCTCTCAGTCATGTTTCTATGCGCACACACACACACACACACACACACACACACACACACACACACACACACACACGTTTAGCTGTGATGTGGGAGGGTTGTCCTTGAGTCCTTGAGTGTTCCAGGTCCAGCTGGGGAACAGTCCACCTGTGAACAGAATTCAAATGCTGTAACAGAGAAGGGATGCTATGCCACACGTTGGCATACCACATTCTCATCATTTTCACATGCACTCTGTTATAGGAGGACCATGTGCAATTATGTAGTCATGTATTGTGTGTCAGATTTTCCCCCAAAAGGTGTGTGTGTGTGTGTGTGTGTGTGTGTGTGTGTGTGTGCGTGCATACATGCAAGCTTTGACAGACATGCTTCCTTCTGTTCAGATGTACTGGGAACAAAAAGTAAATTTACTCATAAGCTGTAAACACTCTCTCACATATTTGTCACTCCGTCTCTTTATATCACCACTGCTGCAACGATGATATACTTTAATTATACTTCTTTTCCTTAAAATACGAGACTCACACTTACGGCAGTTATTTCTCTGTACAGATTTACATTTAAAACATTTTGTTCATCAAGCAGAACTATTAAAAACAATTTTTTTATCATGCATAATACTAAATATTCAGCCATGTTGCATAATTAAACTGGTAGAAAAGAATTTAACACCAGACGTGACTTGAATTTTTGTGGATTGTAGATGTCCCGGGGAGTTGACGTCAGCTTTGTGGAAGATGAAATTAACACAGAGGAAAAGAAAGGTGAGACAGAGAAAGAAGAATTGAGAGAGTGAGGAGAGAGAGAGAAGAGGATAGGCAGAGCTGATTTTCTTTCTCTAATAAAAGCGACAACCCCCCAGTGTTGCTATGGCGACCTCCTCTCGCTCCCTTCCTTTCAGCGAGCTACCACTTATCTTTGCTGCCTTTCAGTCAGCAGGGCATGTGGGTGTGTGTGCTTTTGTGTGTTGGCTTCTGAATGAATCAAGCAAATGAAGGGGAAAGCCATTAGAGAGCCAAGTCAGACTGTTTCACACACACACACGGACATGTATACACATACACATGCACACATTAATACGCATTAATATAAGCCCCCACTCTGCAAAAATGCTTCATACTTATATTCTGCAGTAGCTCCTCTCTTTTCTTTCTTTCAAATATACACATATCCTCTCACTACTTCCTGTAAATATGGACTAAACAACAAGGGTAGGGAGCTATGTGAGTGTGTCTGTCATTTTTTTTTGTCATTAGCAAAAGTTCAATCCAATACCATGAAACAGTATCACCTCAAAGTGAGGTGACACTGTATGCAATGCCCTCGAATTCCACCATTTGCTAGGTTGAAAAATAAAGTAATGCAAGTATTTGATCACATCACAGATAAATATAGTTACTGTATTTATGGTCCCAACTTTACATTGTCTCAAGAATACATGAGCACACAAACATGGTCACATAAATTCAGTTTTTAAACTCATAGCTCTTGTTTTCATACTGTGGAAGAACTGTTCAAAGTCTGCATGATTCAACATCAGCAGTGGTGTATTTTTCATCAATGACCAGAGGCTGGATTTCTATACACCTCTCTCGCTCTCTTAGTGCTCAAATAAAAAATGCATGTCCCCATGCAAGTTTCTGCCAGCTGCCAGCATCATTTGACCCACTAAAGACTCTGGATGTCACGAAGAATATCCGTACAGACATTTGTATCCATATCTGATGATCCAGAGATGTGATATGGCATATGCAGTCTCACAATCCACTAATGGCCTAATATATATTTTTAGATATGGTGGCCATGCAGGAAGATGTGTGCCCTAATCATACAATTCTGTCTCTACAGGTAGAATATTTTGCATGCATCAGGCTGAATATCCTGCATTTGTGTATAACGTTGTGGTGTTCTGCAGTAAAACAGATACAGATGGGTAGTATTTGCTTTCTAGAGTCAACTTAGTAAATGTGTTTAATTTTCTTTCCACACACATGCTACTTGCAACATATTACACACAGGGATAGAAGGAAGTATCCTTAAACCAGCATTAGCTGAGTTTTAGCCAGCTGGGGGCAGCAAAAATAAGTTATAAACATAACATTGAAATGTTTTGCTGTATAAAGTTGAAATGGTTTGCATGTTAGCAAACAATTGTCTATTAATACAGCCAAATAAAGAGCATCATATCATTAATTTGTTACTTGAAAGTTTTGACCATTTGTATTTTTGTCCATCAGGTGAATGTAACGTTGACTTTTAGCTCTTTTAGCTCTGTTCTAGGTCTCCACCAACTTCTGAGGGAAATGTTCCACTATGTTTACCAGATAGTCATTTTTTTTTGTCTGCAGTTTGGTGCTGAAAAGGTCACGTACAGTGGCTTTTTAGAACTTCTTTGCTGGAGTTAGTTGCATGCAGTGGTAGGGAACAATTCTGATGAGAGCGGTGAGTCTGAACCAGTTTAATCGTGGAGCAAAGAGCCAAAACAACAAGCTGAAAGATGCAGAGGGGAACTTCCGAGTTGGGTGATAATTCTCTGTGGGTTTGCACCACAAATTACACTTTTCATATTTCACATATTCATTTGATCCATTGTAAATATAAAAATATTGATTATAGCAGGTTTAAAAACTCAAACCGAAAGCTAAACAAAACAAAACCAAGTCCAGATTCTGTGTTGGGACCTGTCACACAGGTAGCAATAAACTGATTTAGGGAGCAATGTGAAATTCACTTCAGTCATGTCATGCTACATGAACCCATAATGTACTCATTTGGCTTAAGTTACATTTACTTTCAATCACCTGACTTACACCATTTGTATGAAATGTGGGGTGTCATTTACTTCCAAGTTAATTCCCACGGGAGGTTACTGCATGCATGCTTTTTTATCATGTTACTGTTCTGTTGCTGCAGCCTGGAGCAATCCACAAAGTAGAGGTATACTTATATTCCAGTACAGTCCAACTGTATTGCCTTTGTCACTTTTAATATATAGCCAAAGTAATGACAGTTATTCCTTACAGAGATGTGGTGGTGTTATTGAAATAATATATGCATGCTGCAGCAAGTCTGGGAGCCTCAACGTCTGCGCATATACTGGTCTAAATTACTGTTCTTTCATACATAAATTACCACCAGTATCCACCACCTGCCAATGAGGAATTATACAGGAGCTGTTAGGAGAGAATATAAAAACTACAGAAGCAGAAAATATTGAGACAACTGGACACACACCAGATTCTAAACAGTACCCAGTGAAATGCTTCTTTGGTGTATTATTTTCTCTTTTGTGTATATTCTTGCTTTCTAGAGGATGAACAGAGGGTTTAATTGCTCAATCACTTTCTTTGGCTTTTTTTCTTTATTTCATTGTTGTAATGATACACACTTGTAGGCATTCCCTTTACACAAGTATGAACGCTTTATTGAGCTCAGAGCACCTTTAGAATAAGGCTCATTAGGACCTTATTGAAACCTGAAGTTGCCTAAGATTACACAATGATTCAAGCTCACACAGTAGAAAATTGAGATGAGATACAGCTTCGGCTCTGAAAAAAGTTATAATCCGCTCTGTGGAGATACTGTAATAAAGATAGGCTACTAAATTACAGAAACACAGACTTTCAGAACTGAAACTGTGTCTGTCCTGCTGCTTTTCAACGTGCTATCCATGAACCAGCATTATAAACAGGTCTTTAATCTGCAGATGATGGCAGAAAACTAAAATGCCACCAGGAGCCAAAGAAAACTTCTCATCCAGAAAAGTAACACACTGTAACTAACGCAAGTGATTTTCCTTCGGCTTGTGACACAGGAAAATAGAAAGAGGGAGAGAGTGAGGCAGGCAACAGAAAGAGAGGAGGAGAGATGAGAGGGACAGAAGCTCTGCTGCAGAACACACCTCATCTCCATTTTAGCTGGAGGGAGAGAGAGAGAGAGGGAGAGAGGGAGGGAGGGAGAGAAGGAGAGAGATCCAGTCTGTGCCAATTTGCTCTTCAGCTCCAGTGACAGAGAAAGGGGGAGCAAGGGAAGTGATATTTCAGGAATCTTAAGATACCCACAAACGTGTGACTGAGAGGGAGAGGAAGGAAAAAAACATCCCAACACGTGAAGCATTTGCAAAGAAAGACTGACAGTAGATGAAGACAAGAGGAAACATCAGGGAGAGATGTAGCCGGTGCTTCTGTTGCGGTAAGAAATCTGAAATATGTTGATTTTCTAACCAAACAGGACATTGCAGCACTCACACAGACATGCAGTCACTCATGCACACAGTCTCTCTGAGTGAAAGCAGTATTGATTCAAAGGTGTCTGTAGCAGGTGTGTGTGTGTCTGTTAGAAATGGAGAAGCTTGGGGGTCTCTTTTGGTGGGGGGCGGGGGGGCTCAATAAATCATAAGTTGGTGTATATGTGTGTCTGTGTGCATGCTGGCACAGATTCAGCTCCAGCCCAATACGTTTCTGTTTTGTATTATTATTATTAGGATCTGCATCCAGCACCTCTATCTCTATCATACATCCCTCTTTCCTGCTCTCTAAATCTTCCCTCTCTCTATTCCGCCCTGTTGCAGTGTCTCTCTCTGTGTCGTAGCTGCACAGCACAAACAAACCTTATGCAATGGATCGCTTCATGCAAGCATGTTTTTCTACTCCATACCTATTTTCTCCCTCTGTCCATTAGATAATGTAGGTCTTAAAAGCTTTTCTCCTGCTCGCTCTGGCTCTCTCTTTCTGTTAGATTGGACAAAGCAAAAAGCAAAGTCAAATGGAGCTAAAGGAGAGGCATGTTTGACTTTAACTTCTGAAGCATTAATGTGGCTGGTCTGAAATAACACAGACTTTTAATTTCTGTGTGTTTTTTCACCTCTACAGGAGTTCTGAAAACTTCAATCCATTGGCTTTCTGGTCTAATCAATTATGCCACACCTAATTGTCTAAATTAAATCTAGAGTTGTATATCACAAGCTATATTGCAAGAAGTGTTTCTGGTAAAGTAAAAAAGGGTGTCAGATGTTCTCTAAAAAAATGACTTACAGTAAAATAAATTCAAAAGTCTTTCTCTCTAGAAAGCAATGGGTTGTGTGTCAGTGTGTGTCAGTGTGTGAGTGTGTCTAGGGTTTTATTGTATGCTTTTAAGCCTCCTCACTGTATCACTGTATTGGCTTGTTTTCCTCTCTTGTAGCAAATGTTAAGTGTCTGTTACATCCATCTAATCATTAAAGTACCAGACAGGCTCAAATGTAAACAGGAACTCTAAGTGAGAGGTGCTCACACTAATGACAAATTGCCAGCAAAGTCTAACAAAGGTAATCAAACTGATGTTATTTTTGATGTATTTGTAGTAGAGGTTTGGCAAATATGTATAGGCATTGGGTTTGTGGGTGAGAAATAGATCAATGTATAGGCTATGTATGAGACGATAATGTGAAAATTTGGTTTAAAAGAAAAAGAAACAAGAAAAACCTGTCAAACGGAAACACTGATTAGGTATCAATATCCAGGAACTTTCACAGCATCTGTTAGTTTCAGGACATATATGAAGGTCAAACAATCCAGAAATTGTACAAAAGGCTGAACAGGACAGCGAGCTGAGAAAGAGACTGTTACAATTAAAGTCAACAATAATTAACAAATACCCACCTTGCTTAAGGGGTTCAGTCTGTCTATAAAGGCTTGTATTTCCAGAGAAAGCTGCAGTAAGTCTGATACATTGCCTCAAGTGATGTCACCTGAGTCAGCGTTGGGGCTGAAGACCACAAGTTTGAAAATGAAAAGAATCTGGGGATGTGGAGTTATAAAGATGTAAACTTACAGGACCTCAGTAGCTGGAGGTTAACAGCTAAAAGGCTACATTAGCTCCTACACCCGAATCTCAAAGCCAACGAACTGTTGGCAGTCATGTTGCAATATGGGTAACGTAGGTGCCAGGTTTTGACAAGAAAGAAGAATGTGTGGAATAAAAAATATCTCTGGTTCTGCTGTATCAGTTGGGAACCTTTTTTAAAACTGTCTGTTGTCAGTCCAACAATGGAGTGCGAATCTGTGGAGTATTCTTTGTGGAGTCTTCACAACATGGACGGACTAGTGTGATAAAATGATGATGTTAATGTTGGCGTATGTATATAAATTAGTACACCACTTTAACAATGAAGAGCTACTGCGAGGAGACATCCAACTGAAACATGAGCTATATTCTTGTCTCACTGCTTCGCTGTGACTGACCGACGTGCATCTGCATCCTTTAGCAGCCAAGCACTTGCAAGAGAATTTATGGGAACTGGAATCAAAAGCCAAAAAAGTTTTTAACAAAATAATGAAAACCAACGCTTTTAACTTTCTCAACTTTAAAATTTTGTTCATTACAATTTTATTCAGTCATTATTTTTACTTAGATCAATATGTTCAGTCATGCAACATCCTGCAACTATGAACTTAAACAAATAGTTTAGGAAAAATATCTACCTTGGTTGACCGAGGGATCACAGCAAATTTTAGATTAAGGTCAGTGCAGCTGCATCTTTTGTTATTATTGCTCATCCTTGTATGTGAGCCACTGTGCAGTCATACATACTTTCAAAGAAATCTGAGTCAGAAGAGTAATAATGGCCAAATATTCTCTTTAAATCCACAGGGAAGACACAGAGTTAGGAAAGTAGCCACTGAGTCATACACATCTATTTTACACTTCTTTTCTGAATAGTTCAAATTACAAGGCAGCACAAGCCCTTTGAATACACACATCAGCTTACAGTTCTGCTTCCTCAGATCTGCAAAAAAACAACAAAAAAACAACTGTGAGCTTTTGAGAGCAAATGACAAAAACATCAAAATTAAATGATGAATCCATTAGTGAGCAGGTTGCATATGAAAAGATGAGAGACTGGAGATGAAAGTGAATGACTAAGAGAAGAGTAAGAAGAGCCCCAGGAGGTGAGAACTGCTCCTGTGTTTTTACTGTTATAGCTCAGAGTTTGGATAAGATACTGCACTTAGTACACACAAATTTCACGCAGTTGAACTACATTGTGTTTGAATGCTAATAGCTTTTCTCCTCATCTCAATAACTGTGCTAAATTGAAGTTCTCTCTCTTTCCTGTTTGTGGAGAAAACTTGGCAAGCATCTCTCCACACTTTCTCGTCATCCACTAGCAGACGTTAAAGCCTGGAGTTGCACAGTACTTCCTGTTAGTCATGTAGATTGCAGACCTCATTGGCAGATGTAGAGTTTTATCACACCAGCTGCCAGGATGGAAAGACTGAGAGGTTAAAAGTTCATCGAATGACAACTTTATTTAGAATCATACAGAAGTTCTCACAGAAAATGGACAGATTTGTAGAACACATGGAGATTGGAGGAGACGCAGTTTGCGGCTTCAGAAATGTAGTCATGATGTTTCCTTGGTCCAGCCAGTGTTGTTTCTTATCAACTGATACACAGATTGGACCAAAACTAATTCCAAAGTAAATCCCAAAACACTGAGACAGAGTGAGGCTTGGAGATTTGTTTCCATAGCAACTATGCAGTAAGCCTTGCATGGCTTCTCGGCATGTGTGTGATACCAATATCAAATAATATAACTGTAGTGTGTCCCACAGATTACTGTTTTTCTTATCAGGGTGACAAAAAGCATCACACTGAAGACAAAAAGGACAGTAACACAGCACTCTACCAATGTCAACTCCATTACTAGTAAGCTTAAATGATTATATAACTAGTAATAATCAGATCATTGACATTAGCAAGAAGCATCTTTGTGCACAGTCCTGTAAGTACAGTTATCTGTATCAGTCTTAAACCTGGTCTCTTCTCAAATTTAAAGCATATCTGTGACAGATTTGTATGTTTTTACATTTGGCAAACACAACTACATTCATTTTAACTTGGATTATCTAACATCTCTATAAACGACATTTATGAAGGACATTTAAATGACAATGATTTGAAGGATGAGAATCAAAGAATTCCACACGATTTAAAAGGTTTCTAGTGCAACAAATTCTTAAGAAGCATGTCCTAATGAAGTTGCAATAATTCATATTATTATATGTGTAATGTGAAAGGGATCACTTGTAGTTTTGAGCACCAGACACTGCAGTTCTCCTCAGCTCTACAGAGCCTTTCAGCGTGTTCCAACTCATTGTTGTAGTTATACAACCTGTAGCATAATATTTTGATTCATTCTCACTGCTCTTAATAGCGTAGTTTTCGAACCATAGCGAGCAGCTGTTTTCAGGAAAGACCCCTAAAAACCCTCTAAACACTTCCTGACCAGCAACCAAACAGCAGACAGAAAAAGTTACCAACTTGCTCTCAAACATTTAGCAGCTAACGTGCCAGATATATTTCTCAGGAGCTGGTGAAGACCTGAGCTAAAATAAGACTGAACATTGGAGATACATTCATCAGTTGGACAGACAATGAAATTATAATTAATGGTAATGTTGCTGTATTTGCTGGGTGTGTAAATAGGCCACCGTTTGTTAACAAGTCTGCCATAACAACTTAACAAGGTGATGATAAGTTGTCATGCTACCCCCAAGTGGCCAAAATACCAGGTAATGCAGCTTTATTGAAACTAATAAATACTGTTACACTCCTTATTGAATATAACTTAATACAACCCTTTAGCCTAAATAGTCATACTTTATTCTGTAAAACATATCCTGTCTTCTATGTCCTATACAAGTTTAAATCTGCTGCTGAGAACATGTAATCGATGGTCCGACACATAAAAAGGGTTTTTGCACTACTGGTCAGCTAATTACTTGGATGATCTCATTACTGCCAATTGTCTACGATCCCTTAATGCGACGGTGTACCATGAATACTGAGCAGTACTGTCAGTCGCTCTGGATAAGACAAGTCTGCCAAACGCTGTACATTTAAATACTGATGTAACTGGTGTATTTGTGTCTGTGTGTGTGTGTGTGTGCAGCTACATTCACGCAGTCTTTCCCATTATAGCTTCAAGTCCAGAAGGCTGATAATATAAAAGATCCTTAGGGTCTTTTTAACTGTTACATAATAAATAACATTTGTGGGACGCTATGTTCTAACAGGCACTGAATTTGAAGTAATGGCATGAAATATTTAGGTGCTACACGATTTCATCACTCCTGCATATTTACCTATTCTCCCATAGGCTGAAAGAAACACTGGAGATTACAGCAGAACACTGTTTTTCTCATTTTTCCTTCCTCCCATATTTGCATTTTTTTTCTCCTTGTTCTATTGTTTTTTTTTTTACCATGACTGTCTTCATGAATTACTTTGAATTACTTTCCCATGTGTCTTAAAGTGCTACTACAGTCAAGGCCAGATCTCCTTTACTTTTTTTAAATTCTTCATCGTTCATTTTGGTTTATTTGGATGGTGACAGTAGAGAGTGACAGAAAAGGCGGGGAGAGAGATGGGATGACATGCAAAGGGCACAGGGCCAGATCTACCTGGTAAGCAACTGGGGCAGCCACAAATCTCCTTTCCTTTTCTTTCTCATCCATCTTCTCTTCTTCATCTCTCTCTTGCTCTCCTCGGTTGCAGAGCATTTCTGCTTTAATGAGTCTGCAAAATACATTCTTGAAAACTCCATGTGACTCGCTACTGTATTTAGAATTCACACAGGTTTAGTTTAGAGTGGGAACTGATGAAGTATAATACTTTAAAAAGCATTTGGATTTAAGTGACAGGCTCAGTTTTAACCCACAGTAATTTGAGCCTTTCTCTCCTCCTTTTTTTTCTTTCTCTTTTTGTGTTTCTGACAAAACAGTGAGCCGCCACGCTGCGAGCCATGAGTCTTCCACCTGTGTCCAGGATATGAGATCGATTGTGTGACAACAAAGGCCGTCATCGAGCTACAGCCTGTGCAGTTCCTGTTCTACCACTGCAATCACAGTTACACATAAAACACTCTTGGTATAAAAGAGTCCTTGGCTACAAAAGGAACATACACATTTCAGTCTTTATTTGTGTCACTGTGGACTGGTGTAACAATACAATTGCTTTATAATTGTTTTAAGATTTCATGAATGATGACACTGAACCATCTGGCCTACCTTTTACAGTTTGCACCCACACCTTGAGACTGTTAATAGCACAACTTCACACACATTTCTGGTCCAAATGATTTATCTCACATCCTCATAACAAACTCTTCCTCACCTTGTCTGAATCAGCTCCTGTTACCTGTGGGGATTATGAGGCCGACTTTAGTGTTTCTACAGACACAGTGTCTCCTGTGTGTGTTCGTTGGTGTATGTGTGCCTGACGTAGTGGGCTCACTACCTCATGCACTACCATGGCACGTCTCCTGCCCGTCGCGGTGTGTGTGTCAGATCAAGCCGTGGTTCTCCCCTGATTCTGTCTACCATGAAGCTCCCACTGTGGACTGCAATGACTTGCTGTTGACCAAGCTCCCTTTACCCATACCTACGAACACACACACCCTGCGTCTGCAGAGTAACCTTCTGTCTGAGATCGACACTGCGTTGCTGCATAGGCTCCCCAACCTCACCGACCTTGACCTTTCCCAGAATCGCTTCACCCGCGTCAGGACAATAACTCAGAGCTCCTCCCTGCCGTCTTTGCTGTCTCTTCACCTGGAGGAAAACCATCTCAGTCGCCTCCCTGATGGCTCCTTCTCCTCGCTTCCAACTTTGCAGGAACTCTTTCTCAGCCATAACAACGTACATTCAATAGCACCTGGAGCCTTCACCGGTCTGGACTCCCTACTGCGTCTGCATATCAACAACAACAGGCTCACCACTGTTGACCCTCGGTGGTTCAGGTCTCTGCCTCACCTGGAAGTTCTCATGCTCGGGGGAAACCCTGTGGAGGTCTTGCCTGAGCGAGGCTTCCAGGCCCTTAAATCCCTCCGGAGTCTTGTCCTTGGTGGTATGGGTCTGAGAAGCTTGGCTGAAAAAGCACTGGAAGGGTTGGAGGGTCTAGAGAGCCTCTCCTTTTACGATAACCGGCTGACAAAGGTCCCCACTCAGGCCCTGAGGAGAGTGCCAGGATTGAAGTTCCTTGATCTCAACAAGAACCGCATCAAACTGATCGAGACAGGAGACTTCCGAGACATGATCCACCTGAAGGAGCTTGGCCTGAACAACATGGAGGAGCTGGTGTCCATTGAGAGAGCCGCCCTGGAGAACCTTCCAGAGCTCACCAAGCTTGAGATCACCAACAACCCGCGACTGTCCTACATTCATCCGCAGGCTTTCCTCCAGCTGAGCAGGCTGGAGAGTCTAATGCTCAACTCCAACTCCCTGAGCGCCGTGCACCAGCACATCATGCTCTCCCTGCCGAGTCTTCAGGAGGTGAGCTTACACTCCAATCCTCTGCGATGTGACTGCCTGTTTCACTGGGCTGCTAAGGAAGCTTCTCACCCTCACAGTGAAGACACACAAACAGATGCACGAACAGCTCGGATGGTGCGTTTCATCCAACCCCAGGCCACGCTGTGCTCTGAACCCCCGGAGCTAAGAGCTCGTAGGGTGAGAGAGGTGTCATCCAGGGAGATGTCAGCCTCATGCCTCCCCATGATCCCTACCAGTTCCCTCCCCTCCTACGTTGGGGTAAGAGAAGGAGGAAAACTGGTCTTGCACTGTCGAGCTCTTGCAGAACCACAGCCTGAACTGTACTGGGTGACTCCCTCTGGGCTGAGACTTGGTCCTGCCCCAAGCCATGCATCCAAACATTTACCAGCTCCTGCTCCCTGCCACAGCCTGACAGCCTCTGAGGGATTCAACCACACATCTGCCTCCAGCGCTTCTCCCAGCCAAGATGATACTCCCTGTAACCCCTCCAGACCCTACCAGCTACTGCCTGAGGGAACTTTGGAGATGAACAAGGTCACCCCTAGCGAGGCAGGATTGTATACCTGTGTAGCTGAAAATGCACTGGGAGCAGATACACGCAGTGTTACTGTGGGTGTGCATGGCAGAGAAAAGAAAAGAAAGCGGGGGGTGGCTGCTAATATCAAGAGATATCCACTATACAGAGCAGATGCCAGGTTGGAGGTGAGGGAGGTTGGACAACACTATGCTATCCTGTCCTGGCAAACCGGGCGCAACTTCCCTTCAACTCGTCTGTCCTGGCAAGCCATATACTCAAATGCACACACGCCCACATACACCACACGCATCCTGGCTGGTACACAGAGCTTCAACCTAACCCACCTGCAGGCAGAGACATTTTACAGAGTGTGTCTACATTTAGGGGTGAGTGAGGGCGCCAAGCATTCCGGCAGAAGATCAAGAGAAAGCAAAAAGACTCACTGTGTTTCATTCAGGACAAAGGATGTCCCAGAGCCTCAGCCCAGCCTGCAATTAAGCCCAGAGCTGACCTCCACAGCAGTCACATTACTGCTCCTCGCTCTCATACTGCTGCTGCTGGCAGGCCAGGGCTGGGACACTGAGGGTGCAGGGAAGTACCACAGTACTGTCCTCCAGGATATCAAAAGTCCCAAGGCTCTGGTTGTCAATCAAAAAACAGAAGGGAGCAACAAACATACCCCAGAGCAGAGTGATAAACTGCTATTACATCAGGACTGTTGAGATAATTATATTTGTGCACATTCAAATCAAAAAAGACAAAAAACACTGACGCATACACACACATATACAGTTTGTGAATCATGGCTAGAAGAGAGGCTTCATAGATGAGAGCAGTGGTGTCGAAAGAGATTTGTATTTATTTTATATACCATAAAAAGTATATATTGACATTGTTTATGTGTTAAGATGTATTGTAAATAATGCCTAAACTCCTAACCAGGGAAATAAAACTGGACAATCATATTCCTGCAGCACAGTGAGTGAACACAGGAGACACAAATGAGTCTGTGCTACTGATGACCACTGGACTGAAACTAAAGAAAAAACCTGATTCAATCCAGGGACAGATATTTACACAGAGAGCGGCTCAGACCTCCAGGGTATTTGTCATGTTTCCTGTCTACATGTTCCACAGACTGAACCACACTTTCCCCAAGCAGATGAAACTCTGTCTTGAGACTGATACTGAGTGAAATTCCCGCATTGATGTAAACAGCCTTTTTGCTTAGCTTTCAGTACCTTGGACTGGGTTGTCCATCCTGCAGTACATATACCGTATATTCATCCAGATTCCCTGCCTAACATCCTCTTTCAGTATACAAGTGATCTAAAAGTGGTTGTGTTAAATTCTATTTTGAGCTATTATACAATAAAATCTTTTTAATTTAAACAATTCTACTGTTTATTTCTGTTTTCTTACCACAAAACTGAGTTTAGATTATATAGAACATGTAAGGATAATTTGACAGGGGATCAATTCAATCAACAGTGGTGTAAACATTGCATGACAGATGGGAGACACTAAAGTCTCTATGTAGGAATCACATATTAGGGATTCATCTTCAGTTACAACTCCTTGCTTATCTGTATGCAGGTGTTCTTACTCCACAGTAGGAATAAGTACAATAATAGCTTGAGACATCTGACACCTACTCTGTAAACACAAGACATGGTGTGCACCCTGCTGGATAAGACCTGGAACTGAGCGCAGGCTTCATCCAGGTTAAAGTCTTTATACTCACGTGTCCATTTGTATGTTGAGTCTCTGGTTACTGTGTTCATTCCTCCTCTTCATATTGGAAATGAAGAGATCCCTTTGTAGCGTGACCCCAAAGTCAGAGATTGGGGGCTAAATCAAGTCCTTACTTTGTGCAGAAGTGACTTCCAAACATCAGCCACAGGTAAAATGAGGTTTCAGCAGACTGAGTTGGTGAAATAAAGTTATCTTCCAAACTAAATCAGTATAAGATAAGATTTGATGTTTCCTTGCTGAGCTGTAGCACTGGGAACCTCATTCTTATTTTGAAAGATATAGATTTATAACTCAAGCCTCATGATAACTTTACCTTTCAATGTGACTGAGTATTGTGTTTAGAAAGACATGAAAAAACATGAATCTACATATATCCTCCTTATTGCCACTGATACAACTGATACAAACTGGCTGCACTGGAGATTTATGGGTCAGAAATGAATTGTAATTTTTAATATATTCATTCTTTAGCATTACATCACCTAGAACTTAAATCACAACGAACACAAGGGTGATAAGCAAATGGATTTCCTTCCTAATAAAACACCACCAGTGTACACAAATATTTCTTTCACACTGCGGAAGGTTTCTTTTTTATGTAGTAAGCACTGAGGTAAAATGACCCCATATTTTAATTTCTCATCTCTGGGAAACACAATTTCTTATTTGCAGTCTAAAACTCAAACTCAAAAGAATATATATTTGAATATTAATGTGGTTGGAGAAATACAGGTTGGGGCTGTAAATAGTAGATCAGGAAAAGAACTGGACTGTAAAAACAACCTTTCAACAGTAGTTAGACTTTGTATTTATTCACACAAAACATAATACATTTTCTTCAATAAGGCAACACAATACTGTATATACATACAATGATCTATATGTATACCATATTTAGATTTTATGTTGTTATTTCTTGACTAACAACATGTCATTCTTTACTATCACTAGCAAGTGTAAATAAATAGTTTAGCAAGTCATGTAAAAGAGTACCAGATGCGAAAACTTCAAGTCATACTGTTAGTACATCCAATGCAACAATCCTTTACTCACTGTAATATTGATATATTTTAGCTGCAGTTGTGATTTTCTCAGAGCAGCTTAAAGGTTCTATGACTTGCTGGAATATAAAATAACCATTTTAAGCAGTTAAAGGTGCCCTGTGGAGTTTTCTTGTATGTTTACATTCAGTGTTACTCACTAAAACTTGGGATCTTCCTTCCTCATGAAACACTTGTAAAGCAGATTTTCAAAGTATCTAAAACTTAGTAAAAATCGATTTACTAGCTTGCAATTTTCTTCAATCCTGCCTTTATTGGTGCACTGCTGTGTATCTCGGTGAATTACTGCCACCTGTAGATCAGTGGAACAGTGTGAAACCGTTGGCAGGAATGTGTATTGAAAAACTGTTCTATAGCAATACTAGAGGTAAAAAAAAAAAAAAAAACTCCACAGAGAACCTTTAAAATCTCCAACATCAGTTAAAAAGTCAAACAAACATTATTTGAAAAAACTAATTCCAAATATATTCCTTTTCACAAACAGCAATGCAATGGCAATTTTCTTTATTCCCATTAGCAATATAATATACATTAACACTGACATCATCATTAGGTGCTGGAGTGGGTGTCATTCCTAAACAACATGAGGTGATTGTGCCATGAAAAATTTTTTGTGACTTTAAAAAATGTGAAGACCAAAAACTTTTTTTTTTTTTCGGTGAGAAACGTCCACATTAATAAGCACGTTGAATGTACTGTACAGAGTGACATAAGGGGAATGCTATGTTAGTTGAATACCCATTCTCTTCACAGATAAGATTGTACAATCATTTACAAAAATATACTTCTATTCTGCATTAACAAATGACAGCAGTGATTAGTGGACAAGACATTGAGTGACATGAATAAAAATACACAAAAAGTTTAGAAACAGTGACAAGATGGAAATAAGAAAAAGGACATCAAACAATAGTATTATAATTTAGATCACGGCATACAAAGCACACAATACTGTATGCTCACAGGATACATAAGCAGAACTAGATGTTCCCGATGCCCACGGCCGTGTCACTCAGCTGTTTTTGAACTGTAGCATTCATTTGAAGGTTATGCTTCTGGTACGTTAACTGAAGCAGGCCAACGGAGCTGCTCTTTTGTCCTGTTTGCTTGTGCAATGTGATTAATATTCTGAAAACAAGCCTTAAAAACTGCTAATAAATTCAAACATCTGGGGAATCAAACACTCTGGGAATGTAAGGTAAGTGTGTTTTATACAAAATGGCCACATTAACTACAATGTCACTATAATCTTTCCAAATATGGTAACACTTTATTTTAAGTCAATATAGTATTTATATGCAGTACATAAACAAGTAATAACACACTATAATGTAGTTGTAGCAGATATGAGGGCATTTTTAAGTGTTTATTGATTAGTTACTTCTCCTATGAATCATTCATAACTTGTGTATGAACAGTTAATGAATGTTTGATAACAAAGTATACAGTAACACATGATCAATCATTCATATACTGCTTATAAATGCTAATGTTACCCAAGATGTATAGTGAGTGTATGACTGATAAGGCAATGAAGTGACTATGATTTAACAAAAAAAGGGTTCTATCATTCATGCTTTTTAATGGGTTGGATGTCAGAGCTTTGGCCCTGACTTCCATTAGCATCATACTCATGAAATATTGAGATTATTCCTTACATCACTCAACATTACCACCTTACACTAAATCTCAAAATATGCACACACACAGACATACACACAAATACACACTCACAGACACATAAAGTAGGCAAGGGCATCGTCAAGATCAATCTTCACGCACCGCATACTTCGTTTCAATTCAATGGGATATATTTACTCACTCTGTTTAACAGGCTATGAAAAGGTGTGTTAGTCAAACGATCTGAAGCAGCATGAATATTGAGTAAACAATCGCCATAACAGGTAAATGCTGACAGCACCACCTTTGTGGAGTTGAAACACTGTGTAATTATTAATTATTACTAGACAGATCCAGGACCAGTGTAATAATTGATTAGGTGATGGACAATCGTCAAAAATGTTCAATCACTTAACCGTTTACGTAACTTTTCTCTGGTTCCATCATAGCAAACTGAATTTCTTTGGGTTTTGAAACACTGTTCAGACAAAACAAGAAATTTAAATATGTTAACTTGTTAAATTTTATAGATCAGTAAATTCATGAAGAAAAGAAAATAGTCTGCAGATTCATTGATCATGGAAATAGTTGTTAGTAGCAGCTCTAGGTTTCTGTGTCCCAGTATGACACAAATGATAGGAGTAACAGTACCAGACTGTGAGACACAGGTATTGTTCTTCCACCTTATTTGCCTATCTGATTTTTTTTAAAGTAAGTTTCTAGCTCTCTGTATCTCTGTATCATCAAGAACAAAAAACATTTTCTGAACCTTCAAAGAAACATCATGTTCAATCCCTCCATGACATCAACCCTCCCTTCGACTGGAGTGACCTCGAGCAAAACACAAGCTGAATTTTTCAGGAAGTGTGTGAGTGTGCAAACTCTCAGCCCACTCATTTCTCCCTGTGTGATGTTTCACTCTTCGTGTAGACGGACAGACAGAATCGAACTCAACGGAGTCTTAAATCGGGTAGGGTGGCCACTTCATCTTCTGTTGCCATGGAGACCACACATAGCTTGAGTGACCAATTAAGTCACAATTTGATTAAAACATACTCAAGTAAAGCCTAATTAGCAGATTTGTACAGCTCGCCATCCGTATTCAGGATCAGGCACAGTATTCCTTAACTTTATAGGCAGGTTTTAATCTTTAAATAGAGAAGAATGGGGAATACAAATCAAGCTGTTGCCTGGAGACTGCACTGATAAATGAGATTCACTCACTGAATCTCTACCAGCTCCAGGAGTACTGCTCTGTGGTGGACCCTGACCTCTAAACTCCATGTGAAGCGTTAAAGACATTTCTCCTATTTGACGAACCATACAGCATCGCAAACACAGACGGAGAGAAGTCTCCTGGGTTCGGAAATGTAAAAAAAAAAATGCAACGTAACCTATTACAGTGCACACATCTGCAGTTAAATTCATCAAAAGATCGAGAATACTCATCCTTGACAAACACACACATGCATAGCAAACACGCACACACACACACACACACACACACACACACACACACACACACACACACACACACACACACACTCAGCTGTAGTTGTAAGTGAAGTTATACGAGCTAGGCTCCTTCGGCACGGGGGGCGGGGCTTCTGGGATTGTGATGTTCTCAAGGTCTAGGAGGCGGAGCTTCATCTCCATGCTGATGAGAGTATCTAGGTCACTGCGTGTCAGGTCACTGCCCATCTCTCTGCCCAGCAGCGCACACAGCCCGTCAGTCCAGATGCAGTACTGCTCCGAAAACATAACACACACACACACACACACACACAGTCAGTCAGTCACAGTGGCTATTACTGCACATGCTATACACATTGTGCTATATATGTTGTAACAGGTTGTCTTTACACAAATAATACTAGGTTCAAGCTCTTTAGTTACAACAACATTAATAACTTTTTTGGCCACTGGAGGGCGGCAAAACAAACTGGAAACACTGTGGATATAGTGAACATTAGCAAGCAGTTGCCTTTTTACAATCACAACACACAGGGGGCAATATCTGGATCTTTAGCAGCTAAATGTGACAAGTTAGCTAGTCTCTATGTATGTCTGTCTGCAGTTTGGTATTGGGCAGGTGGTGTACTGTGCCTTTTTTCAGCCTTTTCAGCTTTTTTCACTGAAAACAGCTGCTCGTTGAAAGCTGTGAAAGCTGATGAAAGCTGCTGTACGGGCAAGAAAACCAAAAGGTGAAAGGCATTAAAATGGTCCGTAGAGCCGAGGGGAAATGCAGAGTCAGGCGATAATTCTCTGTGGGCTCATCACTATAACGCTTTTCCAGTTACACATATTTGATCTATTGTTCATATAAAAATACGAACAGTGCAGCGTAAAGCCTCACTGTTGCTGAGCTTACCTCATACTTGTTGGGTGCAACAAAATTGAGTGTCTCATCGGGATCATAGAGGACAGAGAAGGCTAACTCCAGCACCTCCTGAGAGAAACAAACAAAAAGAATGAAAGAACAGTCTTGTGACTAGAATGACAATAAAAAACAAATTAAAATCATATAACCTTGTTTTGTTTCAGAGCACTTTTTTCTTTCATATGAGGGCAGTCCTTCCCGGTCACCACAGACTTGATATCAGAGACGGGGACTAGAAGGAACACAAAAGAAACAACTTAATAATTTGAGAGGTTTATTAAGTTCAGCCTACTGACAGATATAGCATGGTCTGCTAGTGAATGTGTCATCATATGTGTTATAAAGTGTTTATTAGTTGGGACATGGAGCCAGTTGGAGAAACAAAGGTTTCAGAGTATCTTACTCTTGTCACTGAGTAGCTCGAAAGGCACTTCACCCTGAGGTGACTCATCAAGATCCCCATAGTGCAGCACTTTGTGATTCAGGGAGAGTCTGCAGAACCAAAACTTCTCTAAAAAGAAATAAAAAAGGCAGGCAACACAGTGCTTAGCAAGTAATCAACAACACTAGTGCTCCTTTAGTAGAAAAAGTGATTGTACTGACACTGTATGTACCTTGCCTTCGGCGGTTCCCTAGTTTACGGAAGCAGCTTCCCTCACACAGCCGGTTGAGTCGCTGTTGCTTGATGAGCTCTAAGATCTCGGGCTGAATTCTCTCCCGCAGCTCACTGCAGCACAAACACAGCATGAGCAACAGGGACAAAGACACATGCACACAAATGTGTACAACACACAATACTATTTACTATTATAGAGACAGAGCAGAGTTCAGATTTGAGATTAATGAAGCAAATGTAACCTGTTGCTACTTCAAGAAAAGGGTAAAAGGCTGAGATTCTATGTTGCTAAGATTCTAGAAAAGTAAAGAAATGATCATGTTAATATAGTAACATCGACTGACATGATAGGTGGAGACTGGAAGTCATCCTGGCTCATTCTCTCTGACTGCCGCAGACGCAGAATCTCAGAATAGTTGAGGCCTCGCAGTTTATTCTTCAGCTGGTCTAAAGACGACGGCTTCATCGCCAGAGCCCTGGTGATCTGCTCACGGACCACCTGCATCACCTGCTCAGGTTTTAAGCACACATACACACATATAAACTCAATGAGTGAGTAAAGGTAGAATAAAAATATTATTGGCAGTTGGCTGAGATATTCAGTCACTTGTAACGTTTTCAGATCTACCAGTACTGGTTTTTAGTGAACCATGAATATTGTTATTGTAATTCACAGAATCAATATTTTCCGATTCAGAAACTCTGCTGACAGATATCTTTCCCCATCTAAAGGCATTAATATTTAAAATATATACTAGATTGTCCCAGGTAGTCTGTAACAGTAAATGTCTGTATGAGTAGTAATTGATTTTAATGCGATCATCTGGACAAAGTACTTTGACAGCTTTAAGCATATAATTGTCATATATTATTTAATAAACCAAAACCAAAACATTTCAGCTGCCTACTTCAGTGAGCTGCTCAGTCACACACAGTGGAAGAACGAAGCAGCTGCCGTCGTTTTTAAATCTGTTTAAACTTGAAGTCTGACTTTACTCACATTCATACTGAGGAAACCTCATCTGGAGGGTATTTGATAACAAGGGTCACCTACTGCAAACTGTTAGCCACCAAACTGCCAATTCTCTTCCCTGATCTCTGTTGCTGTTTTGACACTGAAAGTTCACAGCTGAACTAGAGTCATGTGCATTCACATTTTATTGAAAGATAGTTTGTATATTTAGCTATTTGGCTTTTCCAGCAAAACATTTGAATACAATTCTTACTGATGCAGTTCATTCATTCAGCACTTTCAATTGGGTGCCTCTATTAATGATGCCTAAAGAAATTCAGTATATTGTCCCTATTTCACTTCTTTTTAAATTCTAAAAGAAGAAAGTTTAACTCTATTTTATAAATGCTGCCATATCCATTGCTGTTAACAATGAATATCACATACATATCTGACAGGTCTGGTTAGGAGGTAAGTGCACGATGAAAGTTAGGTCGAAGCAGGGAATATAAACATGTGTATATGAATAACATATGAATGTGTTAAATACAACTGACTGCTTTAATCTCTGACCTTATTGAAGTCCTCAGCTGTGGCCCTCATCTCCTTCCAGGTTTTATTAAGAAGTTGGATGCAGACACAGAAGAACTCTTCCCATGCTCGGTCATGAGTGAAGAACATTGGGTGGTAGTCGTTGCAGCCCTCATTAGCTACAGAAATATTTCAATTGTAAAATAGAAAATAGAAAATTAATATATAGGCATTTTCCTCTCTCACACAAACTCTCCTGGAATGGAGTATTGAGTGTCATACCACAACTTCTGATGATTTTAAATACATTTTAAGATTGTGGATTAATAAAAACAACAACAGCTACACCTCTCTACTTACGCAATTCTCCAACCTGGAGTATCTCGCACAACATCCGAGTAAGTTCGATGGCACAGCGGCCAAAGGGACATTCGTGCTTGTCCTCGCGGCTGCTGTTCTCCAGGACAATCTGTCATGAGTGAGAAGACTGTTAGGTGTGACTGACTCTTCCACCTCTGTGAGATGAGCAAAGTCATGCCTGAGGCCAAAACTAACCCTGATGTACGTGTCCTGGTGAACCTTGGCGAGGTACAGCATGTTGTCCAAGGCCAGCATCCCTGGAGGAGTCTGTGTGAAGTCCATGGCCGGGTTCACATGGTTCTGCATTTAAAACAGAAAGGACTTGAACCAGGAGACAATTAAACTGTTTGTCTTTTAAATTAAATGTATTTAAATCTCTTTAACAGCTGGTTTTACAGGGGTTACAGAGGAAACTGAGATATGTAATGGAGACTCACGGTAAACCCCAGCATCTTATAGTCCTTGGTGTACATGGCCTTTCTCTTTTCTGTACCAGTGGGGTCATTTTCTCCATCGAAAGCAATCCTACGCAGCTCAAAAATGATGTCTCTCTGAGCCTGAACCACAGCAAGCCAACATATTATCAGCATACATAGAATCACTTTTAATTATACAGTTATAGCTGCCAAGTAATAAATAAAACACCAAGTTGGGTGAATCAGTGGTCAGCAGTTCCATTTCTGACAGTGGTATCAGACTTTCTATGGAATAAAACAACTGATATCAGGTTAAACAGATCAGAAGTTACCTGTCTGTGAAACTTTAACACTTAAATCTAAATCAAATTCTAATTTTCGATTTGTGCATACAGGTAAATCTACACTTTCACTTAGTAATGTGACAGAATGTCTCGACAAATACGTGGCATTATAGAAATAAACATGCCAGTGATTTGCATTTATTATTCACTGAATGCACAATTTATTAATCAAAATTTTTACCTGGTCATTAGGATCCATTTTGGTCATCATGCGTTCTTCCAAGAGGTTGAAGGTCAATACCTGAAGCACATAAAGCTGATGTGCCATTTCCGCTTTGATTGGTCGATTTCCTCTAATAACGTGCTGGGGAAAAAAAGGCATTAAGTTAAGAGCTAAGTCTTTATTTTGGCTACATCAAAACAAAACAAGTCTACCCGAACTGTTAAAAAAATAAAACAAAAAGCCTCATAAATTGTTCTCCTCCACTGACAGGGAACTAAAGATTGTCTGTAACATTTGGAAAATCACCTGAAGACAGAAAGCTGGACTGATTATGCTGCATGCAACGCATAATGTTTGTTGTAATTACCAAACGCAATAAAAAAAGGAAAATAAAATTACTAATAAAATATGTGGCATCATTAAACACAGTGTGAGAGTCCGACAGGTAACCAGGTCTCATTAACAGAACACGGACTCAGAGTACACAGTGCTGGAGCTGCTTCCTGGAGCAAGGAAACATCCAGAAGCAATGACACTTGCAGCCCGTTCAGTCAGGCACTTCCAGAAGACCCAAAAAGAATCATTTTCAGAGCAGATTTTGTTCCACTTCAAGGATTTCACAGCATATCACATTTGCTGGCTCTGTGTCACAGCTTCTCCAAGTGAGTAAATCTTTCCACTTTCTGAACTGCTGGTCCCAAAAATGAAACTTCCAGCCTCCCAACAGCCACCAAACCCCAACAGAAGATAGTCTTAAAGGAGGCCCAACATAAATATTTTGTGTATAGAACCCTTTTCCAATCTTTTAATAGCAACTGCTTTCAAACGAAATCTATTGAAACTGTTCACACCTGAATATTTCAGCGTTGACTCTGAAGTGCAGCTGAAAGCTGAAGCTTCCTGTGGCCATCAGACTGTATAACGCATCTACCTCCGGTCGCGAGAGGGACAGTGGAGACACTGTGCCCTGAGCAAATGTCACTTTATAATTTTTTACCCAATTTCACTTCACCACTTTATTTAGTTGTACTGTACCTTAGATAATTTATGCTGCTAACAAATGCTGCTACAATTTTTATCACTTTTACCACTGTTACCACTTTATCCAATCGCTCCTTATCACTTATTTAGTTTGCACTTATTTTATTTAAATTAATGATGCCAAACTGCACTGTTCGTATTGTTATATATTGTATATACTGTACCTATGTTTAACTGCAATTTTTTGTTGCATTTTGTCACATTTAGTTACTTGTTTTCTTTTTTTTTTCTCCTTATGTTACCTGAAAGGGCTTGCATTTGTTGCATTTAGTTAATTGATTTATTTTATGTTAGCCTTTATTTTATTATTTATCTTATTTTATTTTATGTTAGCTTATTTTTACTCTAACCCTGTATTACTTTCCCACCTTTGTATTGAGACTGTTGCACAGTAATTTCCCTTGGGATAAATAAAACTTCTTGAATCTTGAATCTTGAATCTTGAAACTGCTAGAAATACTTTGTTTTCTGCATTTCAGACTTGATACTCACATTGAGGATGATGGATCGCAGGTGTTTCTGAGCCAAAGTGCTCGCCATTTCCTGAGGAGAAATACCAAACGCATCAATTTAATGTACACGTCAGACAAGGGAAGATGCTTTATTGCACGGAAAAGACGTGCACAGGAGTAACATTACTTGACTCGACCTACAGTAAATGGGAGTTTTAGACAAATTCTGAAATGCGACAACTCTCTGAAGCTACCTTTCCAGCACTGATTTAGATTGCTGACTTTAAGCCCTTCACACCTTCTGTAAAGCATTATGACACGGTCTAACTCCAATGTGTCAACACAGTCTGTCTGCTGCTGCAGCAAGCTATGATTCTATCTTCATTTGCATGGATTATGCAGTGGCTTTCCATGACACAGAATAGAGCGAGAGAGCGAAGGAGGAGAAGGGCTGTGGGGTGGAGAGGATGGTATGAGATGCAGAGGGATGTGTACTCACAGTGAGGTGCTGCTCCAGCGGGTTAGTATACTCCTCCTACAGGTTGAAGGGAGGGAGGAGGGACGTGGGTGTAACAGCAATGGAAACAAAGAGTGCACACACGGACAATGAGATACAGGGATACATCACCGGCACAGCATGCAACAGAAATAAGAACATGACACAACATAATGTCAAATAAAGACTTTAAGTACTGACTATCATGTATCAGGCGAGCACGCATTTACTGGGTTTATCTGAATGGGTTTGAAAGAATTTCACAAACCTAAAAGTTGTGAATATTTATCAACACACAGAGGAAAAGTGATCTTTAAACCACCATTTATGTATGAAAATCACTGTGTTGTGCTCCATTACTGGAAATCATGCAGAAAGACACCAAAACTGGAGTGACAACCCCATCAGGGACGTTATGGTATTTGACTGTTGTTCTGCTGGTATGCTGTTGCCAGAACTGCTGCTTAATTTTAAGGCTTATTTTCAACAAGTCACTTCTTTGAAAAGTATCACAAATGCACAAATGTGAGGAAAAATATCCATAAATCAAAATGTACAAAGTTCAATAGTACAGTACAGTACTCAATGTCGCTCTGCTATCTTTATCTCAAAAGGACTGACTCAGTTCGCCCTCCAGTGGTTAACAACAGCAGCTGGAGATGAATGCATGTTCAAGGACAGCTGTCTGAACATAGTGTAGAAAAAGAAAATGTTACAACCCACGATAACATCAAGGCTAATACTATACCTCCTCTTCTTACAATGTCAGCTAACCCTCCAGATTCATAAACACTATATTTTTAATTAGAAATCATAAAACTGAGTGAGAACTTTTTTTGCATTTGGAATTAAAAAAAATAAACATTTTACTATGAAAATATTTTGGGTCTCCATCTGCCCGAAGTTCAATATAAAGTGATTTACAGTTAGGCTGCTGCAACACATACATCTTCAGTCCCAGTCAGTCAAAGCTGTGTTTTATTAACCATGTTGTTATTTTGTGACATTTGGCCAGATTAAAGGGATTACATGAGATGAAGTGTTAGGACTATTATTAAAACAAAGAAAATCCAACATGAGCAGCATTGACCTACTGCAGTTATGTATTTGTTAATTATCTCTGTATTTCCTTTAAATTGATCCCCGCCCTTCTCCTGTACATCCTCACTTCTCATTTCATTAACTTATACTTATACTTATAACTGTTACTAATTTATACAGTATTTGCCAACAAAAGTTTTTGTTTATTCTGTTGTTGGTAAATCAAAAAATTTTGGAAAACAAGAAAATGAAAATAAATCTTTGAGCTAGTTGTAAATAAATGCTATTTAAATTGTACTTCAGTTATGCTACAAGGGACAATATGTTTATGGATTTGCCTGTTTCATTTAAATGAGATCTGATTGTGCTGTAGGATGTAATTAGCGAGTTTCTACTTCCTGAGATATTATTTTCTAGGTCTCGCACAAAACAGCTTTTAAATAGAGCCAGGCTTTAAAGTGTTCTGTTTTTCTAAAAAACCTGCAAATACATAAATAACACATTATTAAACTTGCTGTATTAACTGAAAAATCAAAGCTCAACATGGAGAACGGCCATTATAAACGAGACACACAAACACACACACACACACACACACACACACAAGACAAGACGGTGTATGAAACGGGATGAAACACTGCAGTATGCCAGCGCATTGTGTGAGCTGAGATAGAAGTTATCACTGCAGGGTGAGCAGACAAATGAGACATAATGAAGGTGATGAGTAACATACTGGACAGGCATCCAAAGAAGCACTCACTCCTTTAGTTCGGTGCATTTGGCTGTGCTACAAAGATATTTCAGAATCTGAATGCGTCCGTTTGGGATGTTTCTGTCTGACTCTGTTGAATCAAACTGAACTTAATGTCATATTTTAGTATTTTTGGATGCATCTAAATAGTTTTTCAAGCCACGTTCATTAAACCCTGCCTACACTGCTAACAATGTCAGAGCTCACTCGTCGTCTAAGTGGACATTTTCACACTCTACTCTCCATCATAAACACATTACGATGATACGTATATGATATACTGCACCGGTTGCTGGCCTCGAGTGCAATCCTTGAGATTAATAGAAATAAGCACTTTTCGCTGAATTTAGCCTACAAATAAATCCTTAATTATCGAGTCATTGCTCAGTTGCAGCTGGATGGTACCTCTACCTCGCTGAGCTATTCTGAAATAACTGCAGCATGACAAATGTGCAAACTTCAAAGGAAAGCGAGCACTATTTTGAGTGTGTGTGTCATCATTACAGCGATGACTGTCAGACAGAATCCACAACATGACAGCTGGCAGACAGACGTCTATTCATGAGATTAGCTTTGGTAACTACTGCTACTACTGCTGCAGCCAGGATGAGGCAATATCTGCAGCTCTCTGACACCGAAAAACATACGACTATCATGAATAACTGTCAGTCTATTATGTATTGGTGGCTTTTTTTAGACTTTAATGTGAGGATGGAACATTATTAGTATTCTAGTTACGTCCGTCTATTATGTGAATTCAGTCATTTTCTCTAATACAGCACAGTGTGCAGTGGGTGCTGGGCACTGACCTGCCGTCTGTCCTCCGGTGCCTTCAGAAAAAGAGCATTGATGAGGGCGATGGCGTAGGTTTGGATCTCCTGGTTTGACCTGAAGGAATATCAAGCAGCATAACAACCAGTTAGAAGCATCGTGCTCCACGAGTCTCCATACAAAGTTTAAACAACAGGCTAACAACTACGCTACATAACCAATAATACTTTTATCACTATCACTACTAGTACTTATAATGGGTGCAGGATGTTTAGACGCCATCATTTCACACCATCAGTTTTGAATAATTGTACAGAGACTCAAACTGGCCTGATATTTTTTCAGTTTTATTGTTACACAAGCTCTAAAACTCGAATATCTAAACATATTGGCAAGATCTTTCCTACCATAAAAAGACCAAAACCAACAATGAACTGATCCTACTAACAAATATCACCTAAGTAGCCAAAACCTACTGTAGCTTATCTGTGCCACAGAGCTCCATTGTTGTCCAGAAACTATTAAAAACACATCTAAGAGACACACTGTCGCACTGGATGACATGCAGTGTTGTGCAAGTTCACAACTCACAAGCGCTAGCTCAAAGTTCAGTTCACGCAGATTAAAATGAACGAGTTCACGTTCATCGTTCACAACTTTGAATTTTGAAGCTTCCAGAAAATGAACTCACGTTAACTTCATCCGTTTTTTAAAAAAAACGTTGATGTTTGACTTGGGGGAGGAACTTTGCGGCTGTTGGCTCATGTGCCTTTGTTAATGATTTTCTTGTGATCATCACATTTCCCAAGGCTGGTCGGAAGCTTCAACTCGATGTTCAACTTAAATTCGTTGCCAATGTGTCTTTCTGACTTGTTTTTTCAGAACTGGTGGGCACAATTTGCATTAAAGACTTTTTCAGCTTAAATCTGTACTTATTTGTTCATAAAACTTATTCAAGCATTCATCAGTTATAAACGGATATATTCAGTTCACCAAAAACATGCGCACGTTCATGGCGTGTTCATGCACAACACTGGTGACATGTTCCATCATTTAAATTAACATGGGCTGTTTCAGCAGGAACCAATGGGCTTTAGACTGAGAGCCACAGACATGATACAGAATTAGGAAAGTATTGAGACAGACTAACACATTGTTGGTTTCGTTTTTTCCATGGGATTTGTTGACAATAAGAAAATTATAGAATAACACCATCCCTGATGTTTGATTGGGGTTATCTAAGCATCCTGAACTCATTCTTTACGTAGTGCCACAAGCCAAATACTGTGGCCAATTTCTCATATTTTTTATTTCTTCTAAGTTACCCCACACTGCTATATAAACTCCTCTGCCCCCCCATATCAGAGTGCGTGAAGCCCCTGTGCGTGTGTGTGTGCTCACACTTGCAGGTGCCCGATGAGCTGTCCTACGGTGATCTCCTGTGCCACTCGATGGTAGAGGCTGTGGCTGTTGAGGACCATGCTCTCGAGGATGGCTAGAGAGCGCTGCAGGATGGACACATCCACCATCGGCTGGTTCACGTAGCCTGCAATCTGTGGGAGGACAAAGGAGAAGTTTCCTTGAAAGATTAACATTAAAAATTAAAAAGAGTTCCCTCTCTTACTGAAAAAGTTAAACTTCCTGTAAAAAAAAAACTGAATCTAGAGTTCAGAAAGTTCCCCCCGAGTGACAGTCAAGGCCACACTGAAGTTTTCCGAAGAAAACTCATTGCATACACACTGAAGGAGCTCCAACATGCGAGGAGTTGCTTGGCAACAGCGCCCACTCATTTCTGGCCCGTAGGAAGAAAGGGAGGTAAAGTAATTAAATAAAAGCGTATGAATATAAAGAAATAAAAAAGACAGACCTTGAAATGTTAAACAGTGGAGATTTGTCCAGTGGGCTCCCTGTGAAACTATAATGTGTCAGATGAATTGCTCTTTTGTTGGAGGAGGTACCTGTTTGATGAAGGAGAGGGAGATAAGGTCCCAGGACACAATGCCATGATCCATTAGCTCCAGGAAGGCAGTGAGAGTGAAGGCCAGCATTTCACCAAAGCTGAAGAAAGCAAAGAGCAGTTAGTGTAGGTCGTTCACATCCTCTGACCTAGTCCAACATTCAAGAAATAATAATACATGTATAAAGAAGTGAAATCAGATTCAACCATGGCCTCAGTGGCATAGCTTTAACCATTTCCAGCACTAAATGCAGGACTGGCTTAGAACCCGCAACTCTTAAAGCTTCAACATATCATCACTGTCAGAAAAAAAGCTAAACTCATGCTCACTGGGTGCCACTCTCAACCAGACGTGCCAGTGTCCCAATGCCCTCCATATTGATGAACTCTGTGGCAAAGGTTGGGTCTGCGGACAGCTTAGCGAGCTCTTTTAAAGCCTCCAGGCGAGCGTCGATACCGTGGGACTGGATCCTCTCCAGGAGTTGACGAGCAGCACGAGCCTGTCAGCCACAAAAAAAACATCACTTTACCCACCCAATCACTGAATTATGATTTTAGGGTCATTTTTAATAAGACCCATGTAAAAGTACTTAGAAAAGGTTTGTTGTTGTATTTCTGTTGGTTTCATGTATTTGAACATTGATATATTAGTTATATTATATACTATTATAATAAGTGCTAACTGTTTAAAAATGACAGCGTGTTTTACATGTTGTCATCCAGAAGTTAACTTGTTTAAGTCTTTTGCATTTCAAGGAAATGTTGTTGTTGAATTAATTTCATGAGACTACAATCTATGAAAAGCTGTGACAGTGTGACTACAGCTTCAACTCAACATGGTTAATGAAGGTCTACATTTTATCTGCCTTTGTCCAATATACCTTTGTTGTGTTTAGATGACAATAAAAGGCTAGCTAGAGAACTTCAAAATAAAACATAAAAGGCTCTATTGTTGGGAATCCAGACATGCACAATTACTTTAAATGATAAATCACAAAGTTGAACCAGGACATTTTTCTGTAAAGTGTGATAGATGTTTACAGTCTGGGTTTGATCATTTTACAGTTCGCCTTCATTCTGTCTGCAAAATAAGTCTGACTTGAGAATGTTTAAAACCCAAATTGTAATAAATCCAAATTATTCCTCAAAAAGCAGTGAATTGAGTAGCACTTTTAGTGTTTTGATGGTGAGGTGCACCCACGGTGCACTTAGGCAGGGCGGGATTAGGAAGAATAAATTATAATACATTATTATTGAGTGTGTTAGAGGCTGTTATCAACCATGGCAAATCAACTCTTTTCATCCTTTTAAAAGCAGGGCTCTTCCACCATGACAGTACTGTACTGAGTCTGGTTATTGAGTACAGACGAGAAACTTGCAGGACAAAAACTTTATGACATGGGTCTGCACAAAAGCCTGGTGATGTTCATGCGTTAAGACCTTTAGAATTAGAAAATTGAGAGAAGAGCCGAAATACATAACAGTTACACAAAATAAAAAAAGACACAACTGAAAAGGAATAAACAAAGTGGACTCACAGGTGAAATGGCTAATCGAAGGATAGTCCCGTTCTTGATTTCACCTCGGCTCTGAAGGATAATAAAGGAGGAATGTTTTTACACATTCAACACCAATTTACAATGCCATCAACACATGTTACAGAAGAAAAGAGTGAAGCTCACCTGCTCTGTGATATAAAGCTGAGGGCCATCAGCATAACGCAGAGCAAACTGCTCTGAGCCTGACAAAGACCAGCTGAGGACAGAGAAAAAAAGTAAAAATTCATTATGAGTGTTAGGTACCTACTAAAGAAGCAGTGGGACATACAGTAAACTTGTTGAATTTTTTAATGTAGCTTTCTCTAGTACACAATAACAAAATGTTGTTGAAAATCAAATTGTTCCCTCCAGCCGCTGTGTTTACACGAGTGGCTAAATTGTGAGACTGTGGAGGAGAATTACTCAGTGGGTGTTCACAGTAAAGTGCAGTTTCAAATAGAAAAGGGAGGCAGTGGGAGATACAGCCAAAAGGTGTATGGGTGAGATAAAATTTTAAATATTCACCCGTAAAGTACAAGACAAAAGAGCAGGTTAAAACACGAAGATGACAGTGAGGCCCAAAATCACAGATTAAGATACGAGAAGAAATGACAGCAGATAAAAGAAAAAATAATGAGTGGTAATGGTTATGTAAGGTATCAAGAGTCAGATCTGTCAGTGTGTGTGTGTGTGTGTGTGTGTGTGTGTGTGTGTGTGTGTGTGTGTGTGTGTGTGTGTGCCCCCATGTGTGTGCCCACTGGAGTGCTGTGATACTGGTGTCTACAATCGCACCAACAGTGAAAGGACTGGGCATCAGCTGCCATTTTCTCATTTATTTCCTACCAGACTCACAGACCTGCAAACATTTTAATATAAGACAGATTTAAGAAGCAAACACTTTTACATAAACATAAGACATTATTAAACGTCGCCACCAGTCAATCAAGTACACGCTCAAGAACACTCATCCTACTCTGAGTCAGAATTAAAACATAGGTTGAAGTGGGGCACGCTGTTGTTTTGCCTGGGACAGCCACAGCCTCCGGTAGAGGTTAGCCTTTGTCAGAAATAAACAAATTCAACAGGTTGGTGTTATTGACGAAAGACCTTAAGAGTGTTGGGTATACGCTCTATACACTATAAATCACCTCCACACTGTGCATCATTTGCAGTGAAAAAAAAGACAAACCTTTGATCCTCCAAACTGTAACATATATCACTACCATTCATTTCAATTGTAGTCTTGTTTGTTTACAGTACCTTTAACTTTAACTTTTAAATAATGATATCCTAATACGTGACTTCACTAATCTGTCCATCCAAACCACCACAATGACCAAACCGATTGCAATCATTCCTACACCTCACCTAAATAAAATCACTTATATCCTTTAGGTAACAGAGAGGAAGACCAAAGACCATAACACATGTGCCAATATTCAATAATTTGGTAATTGAACAGAAAGTTAGAATCAATAAAAATCATCAGGAAAATATAAAAACATGCAGGAGAGATGCTTACCCGTCACATACTTCCCGTATTATTGAGGACAAAGGTCTTTTCTGCAAAGGGAAAAAAAACATTGCAAACATAAAAAATTACATTAACAAGCTGAAATTAAACATAAATCATCCTTACTCAAACTGCTATGTTGTTTTATGTGAACAATGACAGCTTGTGACAAGAGCATATACTTTACAAAAAGCTAAATTACACTTCTTAAATCTGTTACTCATGAAGAGTTATTTATTATGACAACCATTAAGCTACTTGTATTCTACATAACTAAAGCACATCTCTGCATTATTCATGCCTTTCACGTTCAGAACAAATTAAGGCTGTGCATAATTCCCCCTTTCTACCAACAAATCACTCTCTAAAGGTTGAGTTATTAGAGGCAAACTGGAGATGCATTTATTGCCCGGTTTCTATGCAAATACAGACCTGGTCCATTTCTATAAGCTGAGCATTGGCACCAGGCCATTCAATAGCCACCTTCACAATGTCAGCTGGGGGTGGCATGTCTGTCGTATCGTAGCACCCTGCAAAAGGAAAAAGAAATGAGTTTTATCTCTAGTACAGCTTTATCTGTTGGACAGTAGTAGTTGATAACAGCAGTGACCAGTCGTTAAAACACTTGTTGCTTCATTTGAACTAGGAATTTCATTAAATGAGACTCTGGAAATAAATGACATTAAAACGATTAATGTTAAATAATGAAACTTGATTGATAACTAACACATTCAGAATGTAATACAAGTATTATTTTATTATGCTGCACTCCTACAGTATGTCAAAATGTTTGGAGCTGAGTAAAAACATTTGTGAGTTTCTGATGATTGATTAACTTGAGAATAATATGAGGTTATACATCACCTAATGGAGAAGCGTTGAGGGGATCAATCACTCTCACAGCTTTGCTGTAAAAAACCCTGTGTCAGCTCCTCTGTGAACACAGAAACCCACACAGCCGTCATGTCACTGCAAAACCTTCTTTTCCTTAAAGCCCAGAAGCTCCAGCTTTGCTCCATCCACGCATTTTCTCTCCTCTGAACTGAATCTGTCAGTGAACGGATCAATAAGCATGACTGTTGTACAAACCCCCCCCCTTACACACACACATTCATACACACAGATCTTCTGCCTACGGGGCTCTGGGTTTGCCGTGCTTTGTAGCCCTTGTTATTATTATTGACAATCAATTAATCAATAGGCCAGATGTCTTAAGTCCCCATTTGTGTTACATCTTCTTCACCAACTTTTATGTGTCATGTACAGCTTGAAGAAGTGAAACTGTGTTTCTTTTGTGGTGAAATATAAAGACACAACTTACTAACACAATACTTTCATGGTGGGTTCTGTCATTAAATAACTGTGAAACAGAGTCTGACCTCTGCATCGGCATGGTTGATATTATTTCCTGATTTTCGCTCATCACAGATATGTCGTATTTGTTGGCTGATAAAATTGCAGCACTGAAATGTCAAAGACATGTTTGAGGTAATTTAGAAACCCATTTGGTTTCACATACACAAAGAGAACTAACAAGTACATTTTTCCACTGTAAAAAATATAATGCTCTTCCTCCAAACTTTAATGATAACCTCTATTTATCATCACCATACTTGAAAAATATGGTCCAGAAATTTACCAGACTCTCTTCATATTTGGCAATTGAGAAATAAATTAATTAATTCATAAATTAGTGAATTGCATGCCCCAAAAACGGCAGGGATAGTTAAAAATGAAAACAAAATGGAATAAAACATATAACTGTCCAACCATCTGTTCACACAGCACATTTTACTGCTAACTCTAATGTAGATCATGTTTATACTAATTCATTTGTTACAGCTGTTTAATTCACATAATTGTAAAGGCACACTATTATTTAGCCATAAACATTTCCTGCTTATTAACCACATTACCTCACCTTAACTGCATTTTATTTGTCCACTGACGCTTGTTTACTTATTATTTGCACTTAAATACAAGAGCAAGAGGATCGACAGCAGGGACCTGGTCTTTGGCAACATGAAGAGGTCTCTCTTCGCTCTGACATGAAGTGAGCAGTCTGACGGACTGAGACAGCTGACAGCTGATTGGAAAAAGGTTGTAAAGAAGAAAAAGACACTGCTGTTCTCCAACAGCTCTTTGCATTCAAGGTGCTTTCAGGATACAAAACACTGTTACGGCTTACAGGTGCTCATATAAAAAGCGATCTTAATCATTTCCAAACTGTAACCAAACCAGCCTGAACCAGCCTGAGTCAACGACGGTCTTCCCTAGAGATTTACCACTGTTACTGTGTACTGTGTAGCACTGCAGCACAGTCTTTCTGAGGAGCTTGAATGTTTGTCTGATTCTATAAATATGTTTGCCTGTCAGTTAACATCAGCAATGGCTCTGGTTCCTGACACCGTCGTCCTTTGATCACTCATGAAATAAAGGATATTCTGCTCTCAAACACAAGTTTTTGAGATAACAGACTCCTCATGATAAAAACACCTCAAAGCTGCAATAAAAATTTAAGCTGTGGTAGTATGAATAATAAGCAAGCCTGAATCTTTTCATCTCCACAACTTTGAACCACAGGGTCGCTGCATCCAATCCTCACATAATATGTTTCAAATTATATGTATATCTATATATACGTATATATAGATATATATGTGTGCGTGTGTGTGTGTAAATTAAGTTGCATTCTGCAAATGATACAGAGTGAAAACTGCCAACCAAATGCAGATTCAAACCAGCCATCTGACGGAGAGACCACGCCGCCTCCGCATCTTCAAGTGGACTGTCAATCACATCGCATAATGTGTGATCTCTGAGCCCGCTCCGCTGAAAAAGTTTGTTCTTGTACAAAAAACAGAATGTTTCCCACATCTTCTGATATTAATCTGCATTTTTCAGAGCTGACATTTGGCTTAAGATGTTAAACAGTGTTATAGCTACGTTACATAGATGTTTATATGTTGTGGCGAGCAATATGCCCATATTATTTTATATATATTACATACATATTATATTATACTTTACCATTATTCACTTATTGTTACTAAACCTTTACACAACTACTGGGAGGAATGTGAGCCAAATTAAATGGCCACTAAGGAATAACAACAACACTGTCAGGTCCCATGTGCATCTTACAAAAAACAGACATGAATGGAAAAGTCACATTTTGAAAGCACAAAGTTTGACAGCCAAGAATCTCTGTGTCACGTTTGGTCCTACTCTCTCTTTTGATCAGCACATAAATCACCAAGACCGCCTGTTTTCATCTGTGCAACACAGCTAAAATTCTGTCTATTCTCACCCAGACTCGATTATTGCAACATTTCTAAAAAAAGTTCAGGATGCTGTAGCTAAACTACAACTAGAAAGTCTGACCATATTACACCAGTTTCAGCTTGGGCAATTTTCCTTTATCCTTTTCATATAAAAAGATGTTGTATTTAAGACAAATTGATTTCTTTTTTGCATGAAGCATGATGAACAGTCATCTGCTCAGGGAATACAGGGCTCCTGTCTGTCCCCAGAGTCAAAAAGAAGTCCCCCCCCCCCTTTCCCCTGGAATAAACTCCCTGCTGACATCAGTCTGACTCTGAATCCTTTAAATCCAAACGTATAACTCATCTTTACGCCTTAACTTTCAGTCAGTTGCTTATGCCTTGATTACTGCTACCTACTAGTACATCCTCCAGAAGATTCAGCCTCTTGTCTTCTCTCTCTCTCTCTCTCTCTCTCTCTCTCCCTTGTGTGCATGTTGTCTTTGTCTCTCTCTCTCTCTCTATCACCTGGATCCACATTCTTCATACAGTCTAGCAATAATTTTGTGTTGGTCTATTACACATCTACTGCATGTCTGTCCTTCCTTGAAGAGGGATCCCTCCTTCTGTTGCTCTTACGTTTTATTCCATTAAAGGACCGCAGAAAGATTTAGTGACATCTAGCGGTGAACAGCGCTCGTGTCTGTCTTTAACAACATGGGAATGACAGCGGGCTGTGAGTGTGTACAACAGTGGCTGTGAAACTCACAAAAAGAAAAACACAAAAAGACCCTATCTACAGCCAGTGTTTGGTTTGTCGATAGAAACAAGTAGATATATGGCGGCACAACTTGACACATGAAGATAATAAAAACACAACCATTGTTATTTTCAGGTGATCATACATAATGAAAACATACCTGTATGAATATTATATCCAATTACTTACAACAGATCTTCCTAAATGTTACACACTCGACCCTTTAAAAGCCTTTTTTTTTTTTTTTTTGGAGGGGGGGGATAGTTTTTCCTTATCTGAATTAACAGTGGATGTCATATGCTGTCCAGCCTGTATATCCCCCTGTGATATTGGCCTACACACATAAAAACTGACCCAGTGTGAGGATAACACCGAGGTGGATGCTGATGACAGCTGCTAAGTGAAAGGATGGGAACCGCTTCCTCTCCTCCACACTGCTGCCCAGTGGCCTCACTGGTGTGTGACTGGGTGCTGGGGGTGCTGCTGCACTGGGGAGGTTTCACACACTTAGCAACAGTTACTTGGCCGCACGCGCCGTGGTGGTCGTGGTAGCATAGCAACAACAGCTAAGGAGCTCCAGCCTTAAAGGAGCTCCCACAGTGAGCTCTGAGCTCCGTTTTCTAAAGACTTCTTCTGTCCCCCCCCCACCACCACCACCACCACCGCACACTTTTTCAACCGCGACCCGGATGTTTCTGACGCCATCTTACTTTTTTACTTATAATGTGGGTTTTCTGGGGGGGGGGGGTCCTGTCCTGTTAAACACTCACACATGTTAGCAGTGAAGCGCCTAACTTTTATAATATGCTAGTTAGTTAACTAGTTGAATGTGCGGTGTGGCGCCCCCTCTGGTTACTAGGAGATGACTCCGTCTAGTGCAGAAACAACAGCTTTGGTAATTTTATTTCTTCATGCTTCTCATTAAGGGATGATTTAATTAAAGCAGATTTACAGTATTTTACATGAACAGTCATCCACTTGTTAGGAGGTGGACCGTGTGTTTGTTATCTGTTATTATTTATCTCCCAGCAGTCACTGTTAATACGCTTCTTCTCGTGTCAGAAGCCTCAACGTAACTTGTATTAAAAAAGAAAATGTTTAAGGTCTGATTATCGGTGATCGATCAGGCTTGGGCTGAAGCTATGGTAACCAGAGGGAGCTCACAGACTGATGCAGCAACGACTGCATTTTGAAACCTTGTGATCTTCAGCGGAAAAAAAAAAAAATCAATCACAACTCGTCTATTAGCGTCGGAACATCAAACACAGACAGTTATACACCTCTTGTTATTTCTCTGTATGAAAGTGACACCGAACAGCAAACTCACTCGCTATTACAGTCAGAACCGGGGTTATTCCTCAAAAGGCGGCTAATGTTACTCAGTCATCCAGCCCAGTGCCTGTCTGCTCCTCCATTGCAGTCATGATGCAGCCTCTCTCTCTCTCTCTCTCTCTCTGTCGGCGGCTCTTCAGATGATGTCCTGGTGGATCTACTTTAAACGGCCGTATGATTTTACTGGAGGCTACTTAGCTGCTAATGTCGATGTTCAGTGTTACTCACCCTGTGACTGGGCCATCGATGATGCTCTCAGTATCTCCCCCCCCCTCTCTCTCTCTCTCTCTCTCTCTCTCTCTCTCTCTCTCTCTCTCTCTCCAGTGGAGTACTTTTGGAAAGGAGACACATTTTCCACGCCTTGTAGGCGGGACACGATGGAAATGTCACCGTCTGCAAATGAGGCAGGCCCTTCATCTCTATCATTTGTCCACACTCAGATACACTGTTACTGTAGGTAAGAGTGAGTGTGTTGTGAGTGTGTGTGTGTGTGTGTGTGTTTGACTGATGTAAGTGCAGTAACTGACAGGGTTGTATTAGTGAGGTTTCATTAGGTACATGTACACAGGATCCATCTATTTCTTTTTATGTTCTAATTTAATATTTTATTTCCCACTCCTTAATTTCAAGCCCAAACCGAGAAACTGAGAATAAAACTAAATCTAAAATATGTGGTCTGGTTCATTTAGTTCAATATTTAATGATCCATAAACAGTTGCTGTGTGGTCGTTTTGTGTTACATCCATAAATAGTCCAGCAGTGTTGGGCAGTAACTCATTACTAGTAATAACACAACAGTAATAATATTACTTACTAATAATATTACTTTCCCCAGTAACTAGTAGTGTAACTAATTCCTCATAAATTTCAGTAATAATACTAGTATTATAATTTTAAATATTATGTTTGTTGTCACCCTCTACTGATTTAAAATCCAACAATTCAATCACATCCTTGGATTCATTTTTGTAATCGTGGAGGAAACTAGTTTGAAAGATGGAAACATTCAGCAGCTGGAAATATTCCATTACTTTGGAAAACTGGATTTTAATCATCGTAAATCTGAATTTTGAGGAGAAAGGACACCATGACCAATTTTGTGGGGAATAGCAGAAAAGTAATATAAGTAATAGTGTAACTAATTACTGTTGGCAGGGAGTAATAATTACATGACTTTCTCAAACAGTAATTAGCATTTTTTAGTAACTAGCCAAACACTGCTGTCCAGTGAAAATCCTGCAACCATTTTAGAGATGAGAACGTCAGGGCCAGCAGCTATAATCAAAAATCATCTCGAAAAATGTAAAAGGACAATAAAGCAAAAATCATTTGACAGACCAGTTTATTTTCAGTCAGTAATTTTTGTAACAAATTGTAGCAATCACAAGAAAGGTAATTTATACTTTTAAGTCATCTTAATCAAATTCTGTCTTTTCTGAAGGTCTATCAGGCAGCAACGCAATTAATGTAGCTTCATGTGATCTCTTAAGGTTCTTTGTTGCATGATACGTTTCTACAGTCTCACATGCTGACATGCATCTACCGTCTGTAACGGGATTAAACCTGCAGTGTTCATTCAGACACAGAAGATCTGCAGCTGTTGCAATTGTCAGCTGATAGTTCCTCATAGGAACCATTATTATTTTCTCATTTACTGGGGGACTGAGAATATTGGCCACCCACATACTCAGTATCTCTAAAGCTTTAAGAATCTTGTGTAAAGTTTTGCCAATGAAACAAGCCCATCATTTAACAACTTATCTCTTTGACCCAAAGGAACATTTAATATTGTTGTGTGTCAAGTTTCACTTCACAAATGTCTCCAGGGTCGGCACAGTACAGTAAAATACGACGGCATTCACGGCACAGTACATTTTTATTGAGCACAGAAACCATGTGTACAGGAAAAATATCCACAGCCTCAACTGAGTGGGTAACACTGGCTCACCTCATGGGATGGTTGCTGGTGAAACTTGAAGGGGCAAGCAGACAACTGCACTTAAACTCACCGAGGAAACAACTTTTGAAAAATTTAACAACAGCTGAATATTTTTAGCTCCACGTTACATCTCATGCATGACATCAAAAATAGTATTTCTGACATAATAGTTTCATCAACAAACACGGACATACCCAATCTCAAATGTTTGACAGGCACAGACACTGAGCTCAACTGCTGCTCTGGAAAGTTCAAAGTTGAGATTTAGGTTCAGATTACATCAGGTTTATATATATAAAAAATAAAATAAAATCATGTCTCAAGACCTAATGTATGCAGTCAGTCAGTGACACATTCTGCAGTTTATCCATGAATCAAATGTACCATTAACCCCAGCAGGACATTCACCAAAGTTATGGTGTTTCAGAACTTTAAGTTGTTACAGATTCCAGACAGGTGACTGTTCATATATTTCCCTTGTTTTAGACTGTGAGATAACGTAGCACTTCTTCCATTCATACAAAAAAACAGAATAACTGACATGAAGCTTCAGAAATATAGGGAAAGCTGAGGGTGACAATATATCATTAGACATTATCTTTGATGGTGATTTACTGACGTGCACCTCACTGCATCAGACAAACACAGGCACACTGACATCAACAGAAAGCAATCACAGCTGTTAAGGTACATGAGAGCACATGACTGCAGAGGTTCAGTGACACAAATATTCCAGGAGTGATCTTTTTGTTTTACCCCATTGTAGTGTCACTGAGAACACTGCAGACTCATCTTTGTAGCTTTGCTTCAACACATGTCAACAAAATGAGCCACAGCAAACCAAGCCTGCTGTAATAAAGTCTATGTCAAAACAATGCTGAAAGGAAACAAAAGCATGTTCACTACTGAAAACTTGGCAGTAAACTGAAGACTTCTTAGAGGTAGGACATGGAATAAAGTTGCCAGGATTTATCCTTCACATGTTAAAAGCTGTTTTAAAAAAATGTTTTTTTTTTTACAAATCATGAGGCCTAATGAGTAGTGCCAATAGAGGTACAGCAAAAATGTGATAACAAACAACAACAACCCAGCAGCTATATTGCACTGGTACACTGCTCGGTGGGCAGCTAATAATGGACTACTGGCCATTTCATGATCACAGACACTAGCCTGAAAGATGTTTTCTGATATTAGTCATTACATTTATCTTCTTGTAGTAAACAAATCAAACCCAAACCTGGAGTTGGAAATGGTTCAAGTGTAATTTAAATTGAGTTTAATCGGTGTGGTCTGCATCGTTTATGAAGACTGAGCATCTGTAGGTTATAACATGTACAAAGAAATTATTGAGAGTATGATACAATTGCAACACCTTATGTTATAGGGGATTAAAGGCCACATAGTGGGAGCAGGTGCTGCAAAATTGGCCCAGTTCGAAACCTTGACAGCTTATTTGAATTTTAAGATTACCAGATTTAGGTAAACTTTGTATTAGGTTTGTAAAATACCCAATTTCACACTGACTACATTCCTACTTGTTAAAACAATGAGTTTTTCATGATACATGTGAGTGCAGCTGCCATTTCATCTGACTGAGGGATGCACAAGGTTGATTCAATTAATTAATAACAAGTGTTTGAGAGCTATGACCATCTAAGCATCCAGCTTATAATGATCCACATTAATATTACTCCACAATTCAGATGTTAATATGAGTGAGAACATATCTGTGACACCAAATCCTCACAATACATAATGACCAATGTGCAATAGCACAGATGTGTAGAGCCGTTCACACAGAGTTGCTTCATACGAGATGAAATATAAAAGTATACAGTATATCACCCTGAAATAAGTGATGTCTGTATGAAATTATCTAATAAACTGTGTGTATGTATATATATATATATATATATATATATATATATATATATATATATATATATATATATATATAATAAAAATCCCAAATGTTGCTTGTTTAAAATAAAATTGAGAAATTATCGATGAAGCAATTTCAGTTTAACTGGTATCAGCCTGCATCAACGTCAGAAAAAGAAAAAAAAACAACACAAATACATAGAACAACATACCAATAAGTCCCATTCTTCTTCCCCAGCAGATCAATAACTAATGGCAGGTATGGTAATTATTTAGAATTTAATGCTTCTGAATTTCATTTTGCAAGTAATTTCTGGCATACTTATTGATTTTCAACCCAACATTTCAGCTGTGAGGTAACAGCAGACAGTGAAGATGGAAAAAGTAAACACACAATATTGTATCAACCAATCAAAATTTGTTTCAACAGCTCATCGATTTTAATTAAATACATCCATTTTGAGAAAAAGCTAAGTTTGGTCTGTCTGCACGACACCACTGTGAAACAATACATGTATTTTCCCAAAAGCATCTTAAACATTTTACCAGAGGGTCAATTATTGAGCATCCAGTTGTATCATTTTCTAATCTTGACAACATGATGTTGTATCAGCAGCTCTCTGCTTTCAAACCCCTTGACTATTTGCACATTTTAAACAAAAAATATTAATAAAAAGACAAAAACAAATAATACTATAAAAGATCACTTAGCCCTAACCCATTACACATTAGATTATTTAACTTCAAATGTACATATCAATACAGACTTTGATTAATGTTAGCCAATTTGTTAGAGTGGTTATTTGTTGCTTTAATTTAACATAACACGTTGTGACTACAGTATGGAAAGAGCTCTATTCTATCAAGAAGGCCTTTCAAAATCAATTTTACTAATACGAAATGTGCAAAAGGTCAAGGGGCAGAAGAAATCAATTTGATTTAACACAGAAAATAATGTCATTGGTGTTTAGTCAATCATACTGTATCTACAAGGATTTATATTTACAATGTCAGATTTTCTCTTTCATGCATCATTTTTTTTATGTGGTGAATTGAAAACCAGTATCATTAAACCCATGATACAGTAAGAACACTGGCTTATTCACCATTACGAGTATTATATCTGGGAAAGTTATGACCGTATCTACACTGGTTTGTCTTAATTCCTTTCAATGAAGGTAATTTACAATAAAATAAATGACTGCCATTTAATGTAGTTGTACATTTTAAGAATATTCAGTTAATAATTATATGCTCAGTTTAACACTGGGCTTCATTTATTGTTTTTTGGGTTTATAATAAATATATTTTGAATGGGTTGACAGGAAGTCAGCTGACGCAGCTCTTTCCCTGAAAGTGCCAGTGAGATGAACAAAGAGAAACAGAAAGGAAAAGGCCAGAGTGGGAAAAGGTAAGGAGATGTATGGTTGTGAGGTCACTACCAGTTTGCATTCTCCCAGGTTTCCTCGGCAGGTTTCGTGGGACTCTTCTTCGTCTTACCATCTGCGTTATCCCAGTTGTTGTCCCAGGCCTCCCAGCTCTCTTCTGTACTGTGTTTGTTGTTGGACGCTGCTTCGGAGCCCCAATTGTCCCAACTGTCAGAGCTCTTCTTTGCAGAATTATCTGGGATGGTCCAGCTGTCACTGCTGGGAGATTTCTTGGCCTTTAGGGAGTTGTTGCTGCCAAAGGTTTCCCAAAAGTCCTTTGAGACAGGCTGGTCAGAACTGCCCTGATATCCCTCAGTGGCATCCATGTTCTGGTAGCTCTCTCCAGCAGACCTGAACAGTCAAAACATGAAGAAATGCTTGAATAGTTCGTGTTGTATAGCATTAAAGCTCACAATACAAAAGTATGTTTTTATGTGGAGATTTGAATTAAAGGAAGATGGTATTATTACCCATCTTCTGGTTTTCCAGTGAAGAGGTTAGTCAATTTTGCACCAGCTCCCTGAACCTAAAGAACAGAGAAAAATTGAGCTCACAATATTTTTTATGCAGTTGTTGTTTCAAGTGTTAAACGTTCATCATAAGACCATAAGTGGTAGAAGTTATAATCGAAAGGAACTTCACTAAAGTACAATCAGTGTTTTTTTTACTCAACAAATGAAAATATTATGCTGCAGTCATAACAGTCATAGAGGAAGTAATAATTAAACTGCACACAGATGTTGTAACACTTTCGGAAATATTGACTACTAAGTACTCACCACCAGATTAAAAATGGCAGCAAGGAAAATGAGAGATTACATTAAATTAGTATTGTTCAAACATTCATCATCACAGCAAAACCAGTCTCCGTTGAGGGGTTATGACTGCAGAGGCAGTTTTTGCATATATCTGTAGATAAGAGGTCCAGGTATGACCAGAAAAGTGTTGGTTCAGAGCTGCTGTTCCTCGCTCAGGAGACTGGTTTTGCATGTGTACAACATGGCAGAGGTCTGCCCATCCTACCTTGCTTGCCAGTTCAGTCATGCCTACTGCCATTTCATCTAGCAATTTGCCATCTTTCACCTGGATGAGCCAAATTATTATTAAAAACTGATAAAAACAGCAATTTCCATCTACATACATTTGTCAAACAGAACATGTAGTGAGCAACAGTTTGGTTTTGATTGTGAGAAAAGTGATTTGTGTCTTGTTAAGGGCGCTGATAATCATCATGAGGAAACAATAACACTTTGTTTGAGCCTAACAAAATGTTATTGTTGCCAAGAGAAAATAACTACAGTAAACATAGTTATAGTTACAGGTACAACCATTTTGCAAGAGATTTTTATATAAGCACATACTATAGATACCTTAAAACACCAATGTCAGCTGTACATTAAAAGACAAAAACATTTTGTTTTCAGGAATGAGATGTTCAACTTTCAATCAAAAACTGTTATTTTATCTTCCTGTATTTTGGTTTATGAGCGTGTTTTCTTATAGCTACACAGGACTCATTTGATCTCATGAAAAGACACATCCAGGAGTTTCCCATTTGACACTAAGCGTTAGAGCAGCTATGTGGAAGCATGTACTGTATGTGGAAACACTCACCATAACCTCAAGGATGGTGACTGATAATATTCAGTTCATACGTGTCGCCAATAACAAAGCTTATTTTCATGCAAAAGCTCAAACACACTGAATCTGCTAAGCAATAGCAATTGTCAGTTAAGGGGACTCCGGTTGTGTCATTTCATGTTTGAAGAACTCGAAACTTAGAAACATAAAGATCAAGATTGTGGCTTTTTAGAGGGCACTTTTATCATGGAAGTGAAGCTTACATTTCTGGCCAAATAAGAGATTTTTTATTCAGTTGTCTCGGTGGATGACATGGGAAAATCATTTGGTTAAGATCTTAAATATAGATTTCCTTATCTGTGAAGGAGGGTGTGCCCCAGCTATAAAGCTGAACTGGATTTTTTTAATGCAATCTTAATGTGTTTATATTAGGATTACAATGTTTGAGGCCAGTGTAGCATAAAGAAGGCTAATGTAACTGACATCCAAACCTACTTTAATATAATAAAAAAATAATAAATTACCAATGTGATACTTTGAATGCCTTCAAAATGAGGCATGATAACTGAACAAAGACTTTAAGCTCCTAAAAATATATTAATGCACTTTTAAGCCCTGTCCAGTGACTCACACCTGTTCCCAATAGTTCACAGCTGTATGCTTCTGCAAATCTCACAGCTGAGTCACTAACTGGGAAAAACAAAGGATATGTCAGCTTTTGTCGTTTAATGTAAACTGGCATAAAGCAGATAAACTGGCACATACACGCAGTGTAGAAAATAGCACATTCACATCTGAAGCTGTTTTTTTTTTTTTTCCTTTTTTCTAAAAGCACTCTATCCCACCACCAAGTCAACAACTTCAAACATCAATGTTACCTTTTCTTGGGTAGGTTTGATAACATTCTCATTTAATGTCTGTCCTAACTCTGTGGCCTAGTTGGAAGTCAGAAGGGAGAATTCACTTGAATGAAACAGTTTAACATTCACAGTAGAGCAAGACACTGAGCTGCTTGTTCTGCAGTTGTATGAAGTGACTGATCATTCCCGTTCACCATGACAATAAACTACCACTAGAGGGTGTAATGGTTCAGATAAACTTACATCATCAGTGTAAAGTAAAAGACATCATCTTTTTGTGATGTTTTACTCTGCCTAAGTTTGGCAGAGTAACATGGTGCATAAATGATTTATCATTTTTCCTTGTTGACTTATTTATACCAAAATAACAAAATGTTTGAGCAACCTATACACCAACAAATCTACCAAATGTTGTTATGCATTGATTTCAATTAAGGGTCGAACTTCAGGGAAGTGTGCTGAAATGTTTTGATAAATATATACACCATATATACCATTACACCTCCCTCTACAGCAGTCAACACAGAAACTCATGCATGAATGGATAACCTTTTATCATTTCCCATCCCACAATACAGTTACCGACTGTCTTAACAGGTTATCCATAAACTCAAAATACAGGTACCAAGACAGACACAATGCCCTGTGTTAGTACATCCAAGCAGAAGCATGTGAAGACTACATTCACTATTTTCCTGTTTTACTGTTAAAAAAAAAACACAGAAAGAACTGACACAGTGACAAAAATAAATAAAATTAAAAAAACATGATGCGGAAAAAGTGCCATGCACTTATTATCTGCTTTACCGGTTCTGGGGGCGCTTTATAGCCCTTTAACTACATCCAGAGAAGGCAAAGAGATATTAAAGTAGTAACAAAGTTATTACAGCATGAAAGTGTACATTATATGTTAAGAGATTTACCAAGCAATACGGCATACATTTGGTGAACAGCCTACTAATCCCCTTAAGTAAGTTGATACTACTCAGTAAGACAGAGGAGAACTTAAGTCAAATGTAATCCAGACAGAAAAATGTTATTAGCAGTACTGGTAACAGGTAACCCATGACTATATTAGTCTTACCTTTAAGGTTGCTTGGTTTGCCAGTTTAGATGTCTGTATGAGGAGAGAAAGTGAGAAAATATTAATTACCTTTAGTTTTTAACAGGTTGTTATTTTCATGCAGAAATACTCAAATCCAATGTTGCACAAATAACATTTATTGCATAAATACACTTACATTATCTTTAGCGATAGTAGCAAACTTGCTGGCTCCAACAGTAAAACTGCTCCAACCCTGCAAAAAAAAAAACAACACACAAACGTCACAGGCGAAGACAAATACATTAAAAAGTAAAACTCAAGATAAGATACATATTGTAACCTACTGAATAAATAGAAGACATGGCATTGTTGATGAAGTCATCCTCTTTCTTCTCTGGGGTCACCGTGTTGCCAAAGCCAACATACCGATTCTCCTGATTCCCACTGTAACCCCCACCACTAAAGAAGCAGAACAAAAACACTTCATTTACAGAAAACAACAGAAGAGTGCATGATAAAAATACATTTTAAAAGTATGACCCTCTTACCTCTGATATGAGTTAACGTCGTCACTCAACCAGTCTTCAAAAGCTTTGTCGTTAGGTTTAGCTGAGTTTTGTCCAGGTCCTCCAGAGCTGTGGAACAGAAACATGAATTCACTGATTTAACACCTGTTCTGTGTCTGATTACACACAGCTGTGATCAACATTTCCTTCACTTTTACCGATGAGAGGATGAAAGGCTGGTCTTGGGTTGAGGGGATGTCCAGTTTCTGGCAGGTGATGTCTCAATGGACCATTCCTTACCCTCTGCTAAAGTGGCCACCTGTCATATACAGAGGGTTAGGGTTAGTGATTAATCTGGTGAACAGAGGACACCATTACAATCTATAAATCTCATAGAAAGCTAGGCATAAACTTAACCATTCTGCCACCAGCTCTTAATGTAAATACATCTATTTATTTAGCATACACACACAATTGCAATTAGGAATTTAAAATCAAGTTTCGTCCATTTCATAGTCAGTAGTTTTAATTTATCTGTCTCTATTAACATTCAAACCTTATGAATGCACTAATTTCTACTGGCAAACCACTAAAATGTGTTAACTCCCTGACTGAGATAATGGAGAATTTAGTCCTAAATGAGAAATAAGTAAATAATTAATATAGTTGTGGTTTTTTCGTCCTGCAAGCCGTTTGAACATCTTTAAATCGTAGACCATTAGGTCTGCACACCTCACCTTGTCTCTGAAAAGCGCAGCAGCTTTGCTGTTGTATTTCTCCTGCAAAGTCCAGGTGGGATCATAATCATCTTGGAGCTCAAGAAACAGGCGGAATTTTCCATTTCCTCCCGCTTTCATCTTCTCAAGCTCAATATCTTTCCACTTGTCCATGGTGACAGAGCGCACAAAACTGCAGACAGGGCAGAAGAGATAAATATATCGTTAACAGGCTGTAATATTTAAGTGAGAATTAATAAAGGGCATACACAGACTTATCGGGGCTGTCCTGCTGTTGATAAGTAACACTGCTATAATAATCCACAACAATCTGCACCGTAAAAACATTCCACTATTCTTACCTGAGATGTACTCCCAGGCCCCTGTGCTTTCCAGAGCACTCAAGGCAAATCCAGATCCCGTAGGTCACACTAACCCATTGAGGATTAAAAGCCCCACACTCAAAACAAAGCTGAAAACAGAAAATGACACATTGGTAAATAAGTTTGTACATTAAAGATGAGATGTAGGCTGACCCTGCATTTATAAAGAAGATACATAAAACATTGTACAGGATCATTTCACATAATTAAGGTCTTGGGAGCAAAATCAAAATTAGTTTTGTACCAGATTGATGTTTAAATATTGAGATATTCTCCGCCAGTAGAACAATAATACATTTATTAATATAATATATTTAATTTTGGGTTAGGAGACATATCTGTCCTATTGTTATAGCCAAAGATGCAGCCCAACAAGATGTCCACTGGATATGAAGTTCTCACCTAAAATTACTCCCACCATTTATTTGAACAAGGATGAAAGCAGGGAGGTTTTTTTTGAAGGATTGTGGGAAGGTGCTACATTGAAAGCCTCCCAAACACCTGCTACCCACTATGTGAATTATAAAGTTCTAGTGAGGTGACACTATTTTGACTTACTTTTGAAGTGAAAGTAAGCGACATGAATACGTAGCTATGAAGACTTACATTGTTCTCATCTTGAGTTCTCACTTCCTTCAGAACTCGTCTGGTCCTTGGACTCGCCATCTTGACCCACACTGAAAGAGAACTGTAGAGGATCTTCGTAAGTACAACACTGAGTTATGAAAGCAGAGTATCAAAATAGTCATGTAAATATCTTTCGAAACAAGTTATACTCCATACTGAACCCAACTTCATGTTACAAAGCTACATCTTGAAGGAATAGGATATAATTGTGTAAAACGGTTGTGTTAATACCAGAGCTCTATTTCACATGCTGAAACCACATATTCCTATTGGACTGCCTCTTCCAAGACAAATTCCTCCCTAAAACTGAAGTGACATATTATTGTTTACTGTATAATAGAGGTCAGATATAATTTGTGAATCTGAAGCAGTCTCTCTAAAAGCTGGATGGCAGTGAGAGAAACTGTTTTGATGATGTCATCTAAAGCAAACCTGGCCCTGCTCCACAGACAGCAGGCTTGTTTGCGATGAACTGTGCCTCGCCTGGAAAATGGATGAAAGCAGCTGTCTGGAAGCAACAAAAAGCCGCAGTAAAACCGTGCCAGAATGACACAGGAAGTCGCCTAAATATTCATCAGACTGCAAGTTACTGCTGACAAACTTTTATAGGTCACAAATAATTGTTGTTTACCGACGTGGATGTTCTGAGGGAAAAGCTATATGATAATTACTACTAGTATCATTATATGGTGTGAGTAGGGCTGCAACTAATGATGTTTATTATCAATATTAATATTAAGCCCAAAAGCAGAAAATCCTCACATATAAAGGAGCTGGATCAAGTGAATGTTTTTTTCATTTTTGCTTGATTATGGATAAAATTCAACTGATAGATTTAAAACTGGTTATTTTCTGTTGATCGACTAATGGGTTAACCGACTAATTAATTCTGAAATAGTTGAGATTTTTTTTTCTTTAATTTAAAATCTATTGTCCACACCCCAAATATATCACTATCTTAGAGTAAAGACATTTCTGCAGCCGGTACTGTGATGCCACAGAAGGTCAGCAGCAAGTTGTATCGACCTCTAACCTGCCTGCATTGTGTAGTGATTACCAATGATTGTTACTGCAAAGGCCGGGCAGACCTCAAACCCACTTGGTGATTAATGAAGCGACTACCATGACAGCAGTGATGGTGATATGTTCACAGCTTTAACCCTACCTTTATTTTAATTTAAGACATAGGTCTTTGTCACAGCAGTCAACATAAGAAAAGCACAGTTGTTACTAATAATATTAGACATTTAATCATCTAATTTTCATCCTAGAACAAATTGGATCTGTCAGGTTAATCAAAGGATAAGTTTATATGAGTCTTTATGATAAGTCTGTTTCTTTTTGTCAACAAATCACATGAAGACACTAAAACCAACAATGAACTAATTCTAATAAGAAATCTATGCAGTCATAGCCTGATTTATGATATTATTCCTCTGTGCTATAAATGTCTATTGTCAAAACTAGTAAAACAAGTAGCCACAACGTTCAACTGGGTGACATGTTCCTTCAGTATAATGAACGTGGGCAGAGCAGTTTATTTTGAGCCAATCCTACATAGACTGTCCTACTGCTGTAAATACTCCCTAAAGCATCAAATGTTTATTAATGCCAGGCTGTAAATAGTCCTGAACAAATGCACAATTTACTCCTGCTCAAATAAAGATAGCTGAAAAGTACACTGCTCAGCTGTTTGTTTTACAGATGTATGCATTCAGTAGGAATGAATGGGCCCGAGTGTCAAGGACTCTAGGAGGGTAGGAAAGTCAGAAAGTATTAAGAGAACGCATTGTTCGTTTTGGTCTTTATACGTAATTTGATGATAATAACAAAAATATATAAAAACCTTTATCCTTTAAACTGTAAGGTGTGTTTTAAATGATGATGAGTTGTTTAGTGTATAAAAAGTGATAAATATATGTGCAAAAAACCCCAAATCAATTAAATTTACAATGATCGTCTAATCTGTAGTTTAAAGATACTGATGTTACTATATCCAATAACCACAGAGACAGTACAATATACAGTGCAGGGTCTGTATCAGAGCGGGTTCTCGGCCAGGTGTGATGTGTTCACTGAGAGGCACTCTTTACAAACCTTTACAGACATCCAGGTGAGTCTGAGACACCAGCAGAGGAAACTCTCAGTCGATTGACAAGTTTACATTTCTCAAACCACCAGTGGCTTCTCTGAGCAAATAAAAATGTTGCTGTCAACCAAGGGTTTGAGATTCCTGCAGTCAGTTAGCTAACGGACTGGTTTTGATGGACATTACCTACCTGCTGCTTCAGCTAATTATATCTGTTTAATCTATCATTTTATTTTGTCTGATCCTCTTGAAGCAAGGCCTTCATGCAAACAGCCATTATTATATAATAAAGTAGTTGAACAACGTGTTGCTGATGTCCACCATGGTCGTGATACGTCCTGTGTCTTAAATAAACCCAACCACTGATGTGGAAACAGTGTAAGGTTTCCACACAACAAGTGCAGTCGTGTCAAAGCTCCTCCGCTCGTCACAAACACATATCCAACACCGGCTTCCGTCCTGTCTTTAACGACACACGTCTACAGCATTGAGGTGACTTTGCGGCGTCTTGCTCCAGTTTATCATTTTTAGGAAGCTCGTTTCCAAATGGACATCTCGTCAAATTGTTAAAAAATGTAAGAGACCCGATGTAGCAGACTGATAGTTAGCGTTAGCCGTGGACCGAGCTAACCGATCCGTTACCTGTCTGTGATTGATGGACAACGAGGACGCTGGTCTCAGAGGGTCTGCTGGCTCCGCCGATAAACTCTACGAAGGGCTTTTCTTCCGTGGCGGAGGCACAGCGAGGGTTGTAATGTCTCAGACTGTGTCAGGCCAACAGAAGTGAACTGTAACGACGGACTGCTGATGTTATACACCGGTAGCCATGTTCCTGTTTGCATACGTTGGCAGTGCAATGCATCATGGGAGTCGTTCTCCTCTCCTCCTCTTCTTCTTCTTCTTCTTCTTCTTCTTCTTCTTGTCTTTCTTCTTCGTCTCTCTTTCTGTTGTCTGTGTGTGCTGCCCCCACTGGCTCGGAGGGTAAACGTGAATGTGTTATTTAATTATAGGACCACTTCTTAGAAATCTACAAAATCTAAATGAGGTTTGGCTTCCAGGTCTCAGTGTCACATTTTAAAACATTGATGTCTTTCTCTGGGAAGAATTAGCAGAAACTTTCTTATTTCTTGGCTAAATTAAAATATCCTCCAACTTCTCCTAATATAATAGGCCCTTTGTACAGCGGACATTTTAACCCGTCGGAGCAGAAAAAGCACAGGTGTTGCTAATAACATTAAAGACTGAAGCAGCTAAATGGAGCTTAGCCATAATTAATGTTATTAGCTGCACCTGTGTTCACTCTCAAGAGAAATTATTCAGCCCATCATGAGCTAATTCTTGAGTATTGGCATGGAATTCTCCATCAATACATGACTACCTTAAAAGTTAAATCTTAGCACTTGCTAAAGTTTAGACTATCAGAAATAATCAATATTTATATTAAATTAAATATATATATTAGTTGCATCTAGTGGTGATGTTGTAGATTGCAACCATTTGAATACAGCTCAGCCTTCCAGGCATGTAGTAGAAACTACATTGGTCACGAAAGCCACGAAAAATGGGAAAAATGCAAAAGCCCCTATCTAGAGTCAGTGTTTGGTTTGTCCGTTCTGGGCTACTGTAGAAACATGGCGGTTCAACATGGTGACCTTCGTGGAGGAGGACCCGCTCCCTCTGTGGATAAAAACAGCTCATTCTCAGGTAACAAAAACACACTTTTTCTTATTTTCAGGTGATTATACACTAATGAAAACATACTAATGAATATTATATTCCATTACTAACAATAGATCCTCATAAATGTTACACACTGGACCTTCAAAGTTATGTGGTCTTTCTATTAAAGGGATGTGTCTGTTAAGAGGAGGGGGTTAATAGATAAACACACCTTCATCCTGTGTGCTAGAGACAGAAATGGACCTTTAATGTGCATTTTGTCTTATTTTGATCAATTAAGACCAATTTTCTGATTTGACCTGTACATACTTTACCTTTTTAATCATTCATTATCTACATCTGTGTCCTTGATGGAAGCCAGATATCATAGGAAATGGGCCCTTATGAGGGTCCTTGTTAGGGCGATGCCATGCATAATCTGTGAAGGCAGGTCATAAATTGATAAACTGGCCTAGGTTCATCACCAATTGACCCATCCTATTCCCCACACCCCTTTTTGCTCTGTACTTTAATAACAGTTAAGCAAGCCAGGTCAGAACCTCTGTCAACTTTCTTTCCTGTACCTAGATATGCTTTTTGCTAGGCTTGTGTATGTTGAAAAGACATTTTGAACATAGGAGAAAGGACAAAGTTGACCAAGGTTCCAAAAGGGGATGAACTTCAGAAAGGTCCACTGGCACTCAACACTCATCTCACTCTCTGGAGGTCCTGTCGGCCTGTTCCTGGACTTAGAGGTCTTATGATCAAAAGAAGGTTAAGCAAAGATCAGTTTTGTCTGTAAAATATGTGAAGTTAAAGTCACTGTATTTACTACAGAGTGCAATGTTTCCGTCATCTGCCCTTTGTCAGTAAAAAAATGAGAAATAAGAACATTTACAAACCGTAATATCAACAAATAAGAATTTGTTGTTTGCTAGTTTTCATTTTAGATACATTTTATGTAACCCCAAAGCAACAGTAGTGACTATCATGGTGTATTATTATAGTTTGAGCAATACAACACACAGTTTTCATAGGGATTGCAAATTAAATTAAACTTTTTAAACTCAAAATAAATGTAAATAAAACTGAAATTCAATCAATGTAGACTGGCACAGCCTTTACTGTTAGTATGCACCCTTCATTTTGCTCCTTTTGTGTCACAGACAAGCCTTTATTGTACAGTATTTTTTATCAATCCTTTATTTACCCTAAATCATGCTCTTGAAATCCACCTTTAGACAGGACTGTGATGAAAAATAAGAGGGGAGGAGAGATGGTAATTTTGAGGAATCTGAAAGATTAAAGTACAGTCTCCACTCAAAGTAGAGCAGCGGTGAATAACCGTGTCCTGTGCGGGGTTATGCTCCTTACCCAATGGCATTAGCTGCTCTTATCTGATAAAATAGAAGTATAAAGGGGATGTTTCTGCAGCTGGGGGAGCAACACTGAGTTGTACATCATCATGAATGTGTCTACAAGTTTGAAGGTGCGGCTGCCGGCGTTCGTGCTAGTGTTGGAGGTTGTCATTATAACTCTTTATGCTGTCTTTGTCACTTATGACGACAATGCCAACGCTAAGCTGCAGAACAATGAGACTAACCCAATGGAGAACTCCATGTATCGCGACTATCCATACTTTGCCGACGTGCAGGTGATGATCTTCATAGGCTTCGGCTGCCTGCTGGCCTTCTTCCGATTCTACGGGTTCAGTGGAATGGTCTTCAACTTCCTTACAGCTACATTCGCCATCCAGTGGGCCATCCTGATCCAAGGTTTCTTCCAGTTTTACTATGATGGTAAAATTCACCTGGGGGTGATCAACCTGCTGAATGCAGAGTTTGCCTGCGCTGTGGTGCTCATCTCTTTCGGAGCCGTGCTTGGGAAGACCAGTCCTGTTCAGCTCCTGGTCATGGCTTTGCTGGAGATCCCTGTCTTTTCTGTGACAGAGTGGGCTGTATTGAAATACATCAGGATCAATGATGCAGGTGGCACTATTCTTATTCACCTGTTTGCCTGCTACTTTGGTCTAGGGGTGACATTTATGCTGTACCGCCCAAGCCTGAATAATGGACATGCCAAAGAGATCACTAGTTATCCTTCCGACATCCTCTCTGTAATGGGAACCCTGTTCCTCTGGGTGTTCTGGCCTTCATTTAACTCTGCTCTGACCTTTAAGGGTGACGATCAACACAGAGCAATACTCCACACATTTATTGGTCTAAGTTCGTCCACTATCACCGCCTTCGCACTCTCAGCACTGTTCAATAAGAGAGGTAAGCTCACAATGGCTGACATTCAGAATGTGACCCTGGCAGGTGGTGTGACTGTTGGGGCTTCTGTGGACATGATGATTTCCCCTGTAGCTGCGTATGCCCTGGGCGTCATGGGCTGCACAGCATGTTTCTTTGGCTACAGGTACTTGACCCCCTTTATGGCCCAACACATGAGGATCCAAGACCAGTGTGGTATTCACAACCTCCACGGGCTCACTGGCCTCATATCATCCACAGCAGGGATCTGTGCCATCCTCCTAGCCACGGAGGAAACCTACGGGCCCAGCATGTACCAGATCTTTTCCCATCGTGCTCCACCTGTAGGAGATCCAAAGCTCCTGGAACTGCAGAAGCTGATTCCTGGGCTGAAACCAGGCTTGGGTCGCACTGCGCAGGAACAAGCTCTCTACCAGGTGGCAGCTGTCTTCACCACCATAGCAGCATCTGCAGTTGGTGGGCTGCTCACTGGTATGGTCATGAAGCTGTCCTTCATGGCATCCCCATCTGACAAGGACTGCTTTGATGATGAACTTTTCTTTGACATGCCCTCTGACTTTAACAGCATAGAGGAGCTCAAGACCCCCATGAGCAATGATGAAAAAGGACAGCTGAGCTCTGCAGACACCAAAGTCTGAGCTGTCACATTATGAGTCTTTCCATTTTTAAATTATTGTCATGACAACTATTTCAAAATGTAGATTTTTCACACTTGTTTGCAAGTGTGACAGATGTGTGATTGATTATGTTGGAGAGATAAAATACATTTTTTAATTAAGCCATCACCAAAATTTCCTGTTGAAAGTGGAGTGTATGTATGTAAAGTGGTGATGGACATGTAAAAGTGTAAAATATGACACTTATTAATAGGGGAAATGGGTAATGTAAAGTATTATATTTAAGAAATTCCATTTGAAATAAATTATTTTAAAAATACACTGATGTATCTTCTTTATTATTTATAATATGTTGTAGCACATTTTCTAGGGAACATATTTAAGCCATGCTCTCGCAGATGAAAATGGAAATGAGCATATAACGGAGCATTTAAAGATGGTGAATACATTATATATCTTATGTTACAGCATGGAAGCAGAAGAAAAGTGTAAAACATGATATTTTATGTAACATTTAATATGCTATTGTCAATGTAGAATTCGAAACTGATTTACAGTATACAATAACATACAATATCAGGTTATCATCCAATTGAATTCAATTTGAAATTCAGAAAAAAAGCATCTCCTTCTCAACTGATAGTTTACTGAATAATGAGCATTGGACTATTTTGTTTAATGAAGAGTGAATTGCGTCTCCTATGATGTCTGCTCATCATCATGTTGCAAAACCATTCCAGATATAGTAATTTATATTTTTTCAATATCACGTCTTGGCCTGTGGCCGGAGCTGGTTTCTTTCGCACTATACGACTTATAGGTGACTCTGTTTTGACATCTGATCAGTTAACAAGCCAGCAGGATAAAGAATCTGAACAAGTACTTGACGGTATTTGACCGCTTCAATACTTGGTGTTAGGGCCACAGTTTGATTCCACATACAGTAATACCCAGGTCTAATAATACCGTATCTCCTGCTGATGCTAGCCAAAGAGAGTAAAACATCATGTATCTGAGATATGATTATCTAAACACCTGTGTGATGCCAACCTTCCTGGGGATCATTGAAGTTTTCTGATTTATACTGTAAGTTCTTGCATTTTATTTACTAATTTGTTTATCTACAGACTATTGGGCCACTTTAGCTGTTTTTAAAATAAAAATTTGAAAAAGCTCCAAAGCTTAAAGCAAGATTTGTACCTTACTTATATAAACATGTTAAGTCCATAAAGAGTTTATTGTGTTCTTAAGATGACAGATCATAAATAACAGATAACAGGTATTGGTTTGTCCAGCCAGAACTGTGATAGGCTGCATTAAGTGCATGTCGTTAAAGGTTAAACAATCTTCTCCTTCAGTGCAGTGTATTTTATTAAATGATGAGGTCAACAAAGTGCCTTATCAAATCATGAACAACTGGAAAGCAAAGATCTATTCAGGTTCCACATAAATTGCATCCTGTATAAAGTTTATAACACACAGAGTGCTGATATGCGTACACACAGCACATTGTGATTAACTAGAGCACATATAATATTATAGCTCATTTTCTGATTTAGTTGGATCAGTTTTATCAAGAACGCCATTGTGACCATGACTTGAAATTTGACCTCTAATACATGATGTGGTGGACTGTCTGATAAGGGAACATTGGATGGATCATTGCGACATCAACTACTTAGTGTGGTTTCCCACAAAGATATTTTAGATCTTATTCATATTGATGGTACCAATGTTCCTCTCTTTACCATCATTTCTCAAACATTTCACTCACTCACTGTATTTCAAACATTTCTAGGGGTGCTACACATAACTAAATCTATTGATTCTCTGGGTTTGCACTTAGGAACAGCAGTGGTTTGAGCAAAATGCCAACATCAGCACGCTTACATGTTCACAATAACTGACAAAAATGTCACCAGTGCAAGTCTCATCATTAAGAAAAATTTAATAAATAGAATATCCATCTTTATTCGTTATTAGTAGTTAATTGTGATTGTTTTACCTTTAAGTGTTGTCAGTGTTTGAGCTTTTGGGCTTCCAACACCATTCCCTTCCCATGTGAATTAGATCAATCTTTTGGAGGACAATGTTAACTGCAACCGGCCATTAATCATTTAACACTGATTATCGCTTATCTGTTAACACTGCCATCATAAATAATGTTATGTGATGGAAAAGACAAAGTACAGACCCAAGAGTCTTCCAAAGCCTAATTAAATGTATAACTAGAAAAGTGCAGATCTCTGCCAGTTATGCCTGGCAGCATGTTGGTGAGGAGCAGGAAGTACAGGGCAGGGTCTGTGTCTCCAGTGTGTGTAAACACACCAGTGATGTAAAATGTCAATTTCAAAGTGAAAATGCCAACAAAAGAATCCGCCAACACTAACGTTATCATGATATATGTTGACCTTCTGGTCAGTTAAGAGGAGTCAACACTCAGTATAAAACAGAGCAGTCAATAAAATTAAATTTTCAAGGTTTTTTCAAAAATTCTCAGAGAGAGGTCCTTGAGTATAAATGTGCACGACAAAGATGAGGCTGATAGATCCAGTAGTATGCTGCAGACAGATACACTCACTGACACACACACACACATGCGACCAATTGCTCGATCCTCTGCATGCTTAGATGACAGATATATGACATCTTATGCTCTGTATAAACTAACGTACCTGCATTTTTTATGTGTCACAATGAACATTTTCAGAACTGACACTGATACACTGAAAAAAATAGATAGACTTTTTATGCTCAGTTTTATTTAGAGGTACCTTTGATCTCTCTGAACTCTTTTTCTTGGATCAGATCTGATCAAAGGATCAGTGATTTGACAGGTTTAAACATTAACATATCAAGCTTAAGTGACATTAATTCAACCTCAGGAAAGATTACAGCATGGAGAAGTACCTGGCATTTACAACAAAACTCACTTGATCAGTAGATAATTAAAGATATTTATAGAATCAGATGTTCATTATGGGCAGTTGAAAAGTATTTCAATGTTGCCCTCCACTCAAAATTCAGTCCCACCAGGCTTTTTCTGGGTTTTTGGGGTGAAGTTTTTCTGAAAAAATCGTGATACATGTTGTTTTTAGCCACTTGTTCATAATAAAATTGCAGGACAAAGTGAATTTTGCAAAACAAAGTTCTAAATTTCTTCTTTTTTTGTATGATTCAATAAAAATCAATGGGAACTTGTTCGAGTGAAAATAAAACTGCACTGTTCGGAGCGTAAATGTGAGACATTTGCGTCCCAGATGTCTGCATCTTCACAACTAGAAACAAGGAAATTAATTTGGCTCAACATTTTGCGCAGAAAACTACAATTACATTTGCAGAAAGGTTGCGGTGAAATTGCAAAGTCATGCAAAACTTATTGATTGTTTGAATTTGCGTTAATTGTTGCGATCACAACATTGCAACTTCCTGGAGAGACTGAAAATTGTTACTTCAGTTGGATGTTTGCAGAATGTATGTACAAGCTAGTTTTGGAGCAAGAAAATCTAAAACTTGAAATTAAATATTTTTTGTGTTTTAAAACCTGTCCGGAGGGGATCTTTAATAATCCATGGGTGTCATTTCAGTAATTAACCCCAGTGTGAAACAAAAATCACATTCCAGTAAAACGAGTATAGTTCACATTTGTTTGCATGAGTGGTACGACATGCTCTACATCACTACACAGAAGGGTTGAGATTGTTGACATAATAACAAACAACAAAGAGTGCCATCCTGTGGTGGCAGGTCAAGTTGCACAAAGAACATTGGTAGCATCTCTGCATCAGCGGTTATGCTTCTCTCAGAGATGGTTGGCGTAGCCTTCTCCACCGTCTGCAGTGTCGACGATTTTGGCACGCTGAGTTTGCACAGAAGCATACAGATCAGACAAGATGGAGACGCCGTCTGTGTTGCCTTCATCTTCCTTCTCTGACTCTGGTGGCTCCTCTAACTGAACTACATCTGAGTACTGTATTTGAGGAGAGCTGCGGCCGGACTGCACCCTGGGAGCCTTCAGGGTCAGGTTTGCATAGCAGTCCTGAGTTTTGGACTGGAAGGAGAAACAAAATACAATTATGTAACGTTTTCACACAACTCTATATCTACAGGACAATATGATCCAAAACAATCGTCCCCTGTCCTTACAAAGACAGCTGATATGAAGGTGAGAGATTTGTGAAGTGAATTAGATGCAAAGAATGGTGTGGATCTCAATCTTTGTAAGGCAGTTTAAATAACCTACCTGTGAGTAATTGACTCTTGAGTGTGGCAGATCAGTTTGAGACATACCTGTGAAAACAACATTGAACTGTAAACAGACATGATAAAGGCTTCGAGAGAGAGGGACACATGTGTACAAAGAAGCACTTACTTGTCTGCATGTAGCCTAGGTTTCCATAAATAGGATTATCTTCCATCTGCCTTGGGCTCCTTCTTAAATTGGACAAACAGAGTGAAATGTGTTTTTTTAATTGTCAGTTTGGCAACAAGTTCTTTAAAAGAAGGACATTAATCAGCCTTTTCTTTGGAACAGTGAATATACGTATAGGCTACATACCTTCGTCTATTCCTTCGTTCTCCTGTTGCAGTAAAAAGAATAATACATTCACCATTAGATGAAGGAAATTAATTTGTTTTCACTGGATAAAAAAAAACGACAAAATATTGTAATTACCTGTGCAACATTTTGATACACAGCAAAAAATATTCCAACATAGTGAAATAATCAGCATTGTGCCCAGAACCCCGATTAGCACCTGTAGATGAAGTGCCAATTTGGAGAAGTCCCCACCTAGAAATATAGAGAAAATGAATTATATTATTATGAATAATTTAAAACAATTAAATATTTCCTCCAGACCAGCTGGTGAAATGCTCTTCTTTGAAACTATATCTACTCCTGCAGTGAAAGATCCAGATTCTATTTACATTTAATAATCGAAAAAATCTCAGTGTCTTGAGGCTCAACATTTCCATATCACACTTCTTGTCTTTATTTGCATTTTGGACCATGACTGGCTTCAGAAGTATGCCAAACACATTTCTGAGTCAAGGGGGAGTGCAAGTCTTGTTGAACAACACTGACTGAATCCACCATCAGCCTTGTATATGAGAGGTGAAAGTCCCTCATCACACAGTAAGGGGACAGGACTAACCACTGCACCACTGCGTTGTCCACCACAGAATCAAACTATTTATATTGAGCACATTTTATACAGCTCGACAATACAGTGGAATTAATAACAGGGAGACTAATTTGTGTCCACTGTCACCAAAACTGCTCAGTCGTATGCAGATATGTGGTTTTTACTGGGACAT